GACCAGATCAATACCATCCAATTCAAGATCAATGATCTCGCCGAACAATAAACCGCACCGAACAGTTACAAATTCAAAAAGCTTCAAAAGTGACATCTATCGGTAAAAGCTTTCGAAATAAAACTTTTTCTTGGAGACTCCTTTATATGGTGTATGAGTAATATTTTTTTTATTCATTTATGGAGAAATAATTATTTACGCAAAATACACAAAATGTATGTACATATGTATGTTTTTTTTTAATTATTTAAAAATTTTTTTGTAGTTTATATTAAAAATTGTGTCTTCGTCTGGTTCGAAAATTCAGAGAAGCTTTTAGTTCACTCTGCTTCACTGTGGTGCAATTTGGTTGGAACAACAAACATTTTTTTTTTTTCATTAATAAATACATACATATTTACGTATGCGTATAACTTTTCTTTTTCCTTATTTTTATTATAATTCCCTTCCTCGTATTTTTATTGCTTTGCTTCTCGCACATTGAACGGCGTCATTTGGTCGTTGTCGTGTTTAGTAGGAAAAACAAAGCAAAAAAAAAAAAATAGGGAAAAAAGCAAACACCGCCACTTTCGAACTGGTTGTCGTAGTGCGCCCGCCCTCGCTCTTGTAGACGCCTTGCGCCTGAGCTTTTGTGGTCTTATCAACAAATGTTGTTTGTGTTTTTCTTTGGATTCGGCAAGTTTACTACCGAGTTCATCGTGTGATGGCAATATAGATATACATATTTATGTATATATGAGTACATATATATCTGTGTATGTATTTATATAATATGTATGTATATGTATGTGTATGCATGCCTGAGTGGGCATATCACATTTTTCTTTGTTATTTTTAGATTTGTTAGACTTGAGGCGATGGCCTTACTAAAATACTTTAATATATATGTATATATATATATGTATGTATGTATATACAAGTGTGTATCTATGGCTCTGTATATGTACGTGTAACAAATTCAATACAATACAATGTTTGTTGTGATGCAGGCCACAGGGTAGGGCGCGGTTTTCATTACTGTTTTGATTTTTAATGCTTGTACATATGTAGATATGTATGTATGTTTGTATGTAAGTTTTTGATTTAGAACTATTCTAGCGTTTGTGTTCTTTTTTTTACTAATTTCTGTTCATTTTGTGCTCACTCTTGAATGTTGCAATCGAAAATTGTTGCATTACAACAAACATAATTTGTATGAAAGCATGCTACTATATACATATGTATTTTACATATCTACATATGTATGTACATAATGTTTTTGGCGACCAATGCAACACGTGTCTGCTACTATTACCTTTTACCATTTAGCTGTCTGCCGTTGTCTGTCTGCCTCGTACTTTTGGAGTATTTTTTATGCTTCTCTCTCATGGCACATACAGACATATATGTGTATGTATGTATTTAAAATTTTAATCATTAAAACCGGTTTAGCTTGATTTTTAGCCGGCACTAAGCTAAATTACATACATAAATATGTGCATAGGTATGTATATATGTGCATATATATGTATGTATGTATAGTGGCAAATAAATTTAATAGCATTACGACGAGGTAGAGGCGATTTTGTTTTGTACACTTCAACTCGCGATTTTTTATAATATAAAATTTTAGCTCGTAACTAAGGAATCTCGATGATTTTTTAATGTAAAAATTTCATGCAAATTTCCTGTTCGGGGAATGGAGGATAAAGAGTGGAAATAGAAAAGCAAAATTATTTTTACTCTTCAAGATATCTTTGAATTTTTATTTTATTTATACCCTCCTTTTTTTGTCTTTATCTTCAAGCCGATAGAGGGTGTTTTCACCTCATTCTGGGTGTTAAATTTTTGATCCCGCACCCCTTTTTACATTTTTGGAAAGAGCTAATAATCACTCAGCACCAGATCTGGACTATATAGGCGGTTGGTGATTCATAATATCGATGCCCACCTTATGCAGGGCAGCCAACGCAAAGCGGTTGTTGATTTTTTCGGAGACGTGAGCACACTGCACCCAACTTGCGTTGACTTTAGTCATACCAAGATTAGAAAAGGGTTTATCGAATACTCAAACCATTTCTGCGAGTTGTTTCTGCTAGTCAAGGACCATTTCTTCAATTTTTTTTGGTTCTGGCATAATCATCTGGCTAAAAAAAATGTGCCACTTTTACAACATAGTTTTGCCAGGGAAGAATCGCTGTAAACCAATGACATCTCTTTCGCTTTGGTATGGATCGCTTGCTAAGGAACTTTATAAAGGCATGATAATAGATGTTTTCCATATTTCACTTGTTATTACCGATTATGTTGCTGGTTTCACGATAGCTCAAAGACTAATTAATCTATAAAAGCGTTACGGAACATGTTACGGTTCTCTTTGCGAGCTTAGTCTCGCCCGCGCTATAACTCTCTCATCCCGCGAATACAAAAATACTCACACGTATATGCACAGCAGCAAATTTCATGTTCTAACTACTTAAAATATCCAAAAAAATCGCTTGTCTGGATCTTTCATATAAAGCATGACCAATTTCGAGGTTCCCTATTTCTTTACAGAAAAAAAACGCCGAAAATTCAAATTTAATGGGGAATGTTTATTATCATTCGAAAGAACATTCTTTGGCATTTATTTTTTGAAGAATACCTCTTTCAAATGTTCGTCGCGGCTACGTATCAGAGTCTTTGAGTCCAATTAGCGATGACTCGTTCCAGTTTTTCGACTGGTAACTGGCGAATGACACGCGTTTTGTTTTGCTCCAAGGCCCAAATGGATGTGGGATCATGCGCAAAGACTTTAGACTTTACATATCTCTACAGGGAAATGTCATCACATCTTGGTGGCCAATCGACAGTGCCAAACGTGAAATTCTCTACTCACCGTAGTGTTCTCTCAGTAAATCCATTTAATGGCGCCGTCTTTTTGAAACCAAATGTCGCCTAGATCACGAGCTTCAATTTCAGGTATCAAATAGTCGGCGCGATAACGGTCGCAATTACGTTCGCAGCGGCATCATTTTTGATGTGTTTTAAATGAGGACCGTTGATTCCACCGGCCGACAAACCTCGTCAAACCGTTGTAATTTTCTGGATGAAATGACAGCTCTCGTCATTATGCTTTTCGTCCCAAATGTAGCAATTTTGCTTGTTCACATACCCATAGAGCCAAAAATTGACCTCATCGCTGAGCAAAATTTGATTTGAAACGTCGGATCTTCTAGGAACTTTTCAAGAGCCCATATAGCGAAGCGAAGTAGGCTGGGAAGGTAAAATATGCCAAGTCGCTCCATACGTCAGTCCGAGTTGGTGCGAACGGCATCGAATCGACTGCACGGCTGTCCGGCCTTGTTCAACACCCTCAGCTACGGCCGCTATATTTTCTTCACTGCGTGCTGCACGTCGTCTTTTCGGTCGAATGTTATCCAATAATAAATGCTGAGTCTCAAGATGGGCGATGGTGTTGCGAATAGTAGGCTCAGTAGCCGATTATGTTGCCCGTAGGTTGAGCGAAGCGCGCGAAACACATTCTTTACAGAACGCGAATTTTCGTAATAAAGTTGAACGTTTGAACACGACTCACGCTATTGGAAAAAGTACATCTACTTGGAGCACCCATTACATACACACATACATGCACTCTTCAGCCGTTCGAAGCAGTGCAAGTCCTAATTATCATTTAATTATCTCAATCTCTTACCTTTACTTTTAGTTCTTCCAGAACGTTCCGTTTTTCATGCGACCATACCCCCTCATGTTAAAAGAGCTCCTGTGGCAGAACCCAGTGCTTTCGGAAAACTCAATAGCTTTGGTCTGTCAATGAAAGGAGAAATATAAAAAATTTAGAAATTTATCGGTCTTCATGGACTTGAGGCGTTCATGAGACTATACCTGAAATTCATTCCCTAAAGTATTTGGTATGTATGTACACGTATGTTTGTATCAGAATACCTTTCTAAATACGTCAGCTTTCTAAACAACCCGATTGTAGTTGTTGCTTATTTGTTTACATTCCGGAATGTTGTCGCATCTCAAAGTCAACAACATTTCATTGACCTCGTTGACAGTGCTGCAGTTTTTCTGGTTTGTATATACATATGTACGTATACTCATGTTTACATACATATGTACATATGCACATGCCTACGAATGCATGTTTGAACGCACTGTACATACATATATCTTTATTTTCTCCCAATCGAAAATATAATTAGTTAGCGCGCCTCTGATGAGTTGTATATGTGTGTGACGTGATCATTCCATTTCCAATCATGCGACAATCCAAGATGAGGATCTTCAAGCAATTCAGCAAGCGTACCACCCAGGCACATCAAGAATCGAGTACTAAACTATATGTACTCCATTCAACACAATTCACATGAAACGCTGGAACGGACGGCGTAGCCACAGGCTCAAACTCTCTTCCAGTGCGTGCATAATCGACTTAATGTTCTACCTATTTGGACTTGACCCCGACAAACCTACTCTTCTAACTTCATTTTCCCTCTGGTCCGAACTCGTCGAAACAGCTCGTTTTCTGGACCTCCCGTTAGAATGCTTGCCCTTGGAAATGGATATTGGATATTTGTTAGGTTGGTCGAAAGGAGTAACACAGCCCTTGGGTGGGCTTACTTTTCTTCCCTGCGTATTTCGTTTATAGATTTGCGAACAGTTTATCTGATTCAATAAACTGCATATTTAAATTTTTTTCAAGATGAACACGCACCTCTGAAAGGCTAAAGCTGCTGAGAGAATAATGAAAGATACATCATCTCAATCGGTAGGGAGTGATTCCACTATATCTGCGTAGTGGAGATGATACCTAAGAAATTGGAAAGTCTGATGAAACCAATGATGGTGTCCTTGCGAGCGCGATCAAACTGGTCCATATTGTTATTGCCTTGTACATCCGTGTTACCTTTGACTTAAATGATGTTCACTGTAATTTTCCGATGAGACCGTGCCAATTGGTGTCCTACTTGCTCTCATTTAATACTAAACAAAAATGTTCTTCTTTTTTTTTGCAGGACATAACCACGATGGAAAAGGTGGAAATTCTGATGCAGCAGGACTACAGTCTCTTCGAAATAGACAACAGTGGCGGCGTACTTAGTGGCTGTTATCCACCACGCATCCTCGTGCCTGAATACGAGCATAACGGCATTGCCAAAAAACACACTGCCAATTCAGTGAGCAGACAGAATGGTAGCTCCAATGGCTCGAATACCAATGGCAGCGGCGGCGGTGATACATCGAATGGCGATTCGATAATTCAAAAAACTCAACAGCAAACGTCTGAGAGGAGCAGTAATACATCCACGACGCCAGTGATTGAAGATAACGAAAAAAAGAATGGCAACAGCAACGGTAATAGTAACGGCAATGGCTTTGACACATGCCCAGAAAATGGTAGTGACGGCGATAGTGGTGTACAATCATTTGTTAGAGTTGCATCGAAGCCGGCACGACCGCAGCGTCCGCAAAAAACCATCTACGAAGAGGTGTATGATGCGAATAAAATGCGTGAGTTCATTACACGTGCTCGCTATGCACGTTGTCGTCAACGTTTTGTGGTGCCTGTTATCCTTTGCCGTGGCAAATTTATTTGTCGCTCAGCGACAGTCTCTGTGGTACAGGAAACTTACATTAATTTTGGCCGCGACTACCTGTCGGGCAATGGTAATGAAACACAACAACGAACAGTAGACGTAGAAAATGAATCCCTGGGCAACTCAATTAACGATCCACCTTCGCCTTTTTCCTACAGAGAGGTGATTAAAAACGACATTGGTCTGTTAAAAACGCTCAATATCAAAACCATCGTGGATCTGATGGTCGAAAAACGGAAAGTCAAATTTTTCGTTGCGTAAGTATTTTATATTTTTAATACGAAAATATTAGAAAGAGTAGTTTATTAACTGATAAGGCTTTGTTCCCAAAATATCTGAGTAGAAACGTGTAGGAGAGATAGAAAAGAGAGAGTAAAAAAGAAAGAGAGAGGGAGTGAGTGTGTGTGTGAGAGAGAGAGTTAGTGAGTGAGTGTGTGTGTGAGAGAGAGAGAGAGAGAGCGAGAGAGAGATAGAGAGAGAGAGAGTGAGTGAGTGAGTGAGTGAGTGTGTGTGGGAGAGAGAGAGAGAGCGAGAGAGTGAGTGAGTGAGTGAGTGAGTGAGAGAGAGAGAGGCCAGCTACAGAACAGAGGGGGTAATGGGAATGGAAAATGAGAAAAAGGCCGACTTTTTCTCGAAGCTAAAATGCTAATCGACAAACAAATAGTCAAACTCTGATTTCTCAAGACCCCAAAACTCTTTGTTTATTTGTCTATTCTACATGTCTTCGTTAGAACCGATTTAGTCAATTTTATATAATGTAATTTTAATAAAAGGATCGAAAATAATTAATAGCAATTATATGTTTAGTTAATCGAATACAATAAAGACATTTGCGTTTTTATTTCTTAACCCTAGAATATCTTCATCGGAGAAAGCCGATCCGCAACATTACGAACAATTCAATTTGCTCTCCCTGCCATATCCGGGTTGCGAGTTCTACAAGAAATTCCGCGATCACAATTATATTGCAAGCAATTTGTACTACAATTGGGAGAAATCATTTAATGATGCCGATATTAGTATACCTGCAGGACCTGCTATGGATCTTGACATAAATTGGGATGAATATAGAAAATGGGATTTGGTGGAGATCACACAAAATTACCTCAAAGCAATACTTAAATATGTGCAAGAAGAAACTGGTGGCTTGCTGGTGCACTGTATCAGCGGTTGGGATCGCACACCACTCTTCATATCGTTACTACGCCTATCGCTTTGGGCGGACGGTCTCATACATAAATCTCTAGATGTTCTAGAAATCACATACCTTACTGTGGCCTATGATTGGTATTTGTTTGGTCATCAATTGCCTGATCGTGAGAAGAAAGGCGAAGATATAATACTCTTCTGCTTTCACATGCTGAAATTTCTCGGCAGCGAGGAGTTTAGTTTGGTGGAGCATAGGTAAGTGGATGTGTGCGTATATGTAGGAAAATACATCAACTGATTATTATTACAACTTTTTAAGGAAACGAACAAAAACGACTAGTAGTAGCAGCAGTATCGGCTTAATATCAAAACCAGAGGATGATGCCAAGTTGAGGGAGTAAGTGGAAGAGAATTTGTTTTTGAAAATATTTTCCTATTAAGTTAAATTTATTTCTTTCCCAACAGAGAACTATATGCGGCCGCCTGCGAACAAGATAGTAATGATAGTTTTTCTGGTACTTCCAACTGTGATGTTCAGCTTACTGACGCAGTAAGCGCTATGACATTGCCTTGTGCATCAATACAGGCAAATGAGTGTAATAATACACTCACTAGTCGTTCGCCAAATTCTAGACGGTATGTTTTATTTTATGGTTTTTTATATCTAAAAATGTTGTATATATATATATATATATATATTCAGTGCCACCCATTTCTTCCATAGCTCAAGGACTAGCCCCATGCCCGTGCCTGGCGCAAATGCGTCACGTCAACGCCATGAATCAGTATCATCGAATAGCAGTTGGCATGTGGTAACAGAGACTGGCTCCATAGACTCCGTCCTGGCTGGCAGTTATATGCGTCATTATCTGGCCGAACGTTCGGAGAATAGTTCGGTGACTTCAAATAACAGCATTCCTTCGAGTAATCGCTCTAGCTCCGGTAGCAATGGGAACAGTGGTAGTGATACACTTGATTGTGGTGTAAGCCCACATAATACGAGTGGCGGTAGTGACAACAGCCAAAATAGTGGTGAAAGTTACAAAAGTGCTTTGAGCGATCCCAACAGCGGCAACAATGGTGCACTTCCAACCACAGCTGAAGGTGTCCAGTCTGACTGCAGCACTGATCTCGCTGATTCAGCGCCTTCATCGAATGGCAGAAGAGGAGCTACAGAGTGAGTTCATAAATGTAAAAGTTGTAAGGAAACCAAATTGAAACTTGAATTTGTATATGTTTTAGGCGTGAGAAACGTTTGAACTCTGTGCGTGCGGTATTAATACGCAACTATGGCAAAGGTGTGGGATTGAAATTGAGGGATGGTTCCGGCTTAAGTATTGGCACGTTTATTGGAACACTATTCTAAAGAGAAATGATGCAACATGACAAGCGGCATGAATCATGTGCACGCACATACAAAAACACACATAAAAACACATTTACATACACATACAATTTTAAAATTAACATTTATTTTTATTCTCATAACGGTGTTATTTTCGTGAAAATTAAAAAAAAATAGACATAAATTGTATAATGGTCGAACTGCAGTTTACGACTTCTGTTATCAACAAATGTTAGGTTATTTTGGAAAATTCATGTGGTATTCTTAATTTTAATGAGAGTAACACTACTTAATTATTGCTTTAACTTTTATAATAAATTGTTACTTCGTTTAAACGAATGGGCAATTTTTTGGTTGTCAATGTATAGCGGTTTGTTTAAATTTTAAAAAATGTATGTCTTTTTTAATCGACACTAAATAAAATTATTGTATTCGCTTCATATAAACGATAACGGTTAGGTTTGTATAATAATGAAACCGTTAAACTAAGCCAAACACTTTCCTTAAAAACGAAAACTCTAGAATAGAATTGTTCAAGTACGTATCGTCGTCAGACTGGCAATTGCTTTAATTTTAGCATTAAGTGCATATGTATGTGTATATTTTTATTCTAGAAGAAATCATGTTGAATTTGCTATTTTACATTTAAGTTTCAATCACTACAAAACTTTTACAATTTATGTTTGTTTAAAAATTACAGTTTTAAGTGTTCTTTCTGCTTTATTGTATGTATACATAAATATATCGAACGGTACGCATTTTTTAATTACGACTTATTGAATTTTACGTTATGTCAAAAGTCACTGAGTAAAAACATTGACGCTGCCGCCGCACTATTTTGTAATTTTGATATGAAATTTTGATATTAAAATATACTAGTGTGTGCATTTCCCTCCCGTTTTTATTTTTCTCTTTTTTATATACGATTTATGCGAAAAAAAGAGAAATTACTTATAAATATAAATTTAAGCGAATGTAATTTCAAAAATCGAACGACATTAAAAATAAATATAAAATAAAAGACGATTTGAATCCAAAACAATTTGTTTTATTCTATTTACAACACAGTAATGCATAAATTAGGAGGTGTGGTTTATAAGTTATTAGATTCTTATTATACTTTTTTAAAATATTTTATATACTGCCGTAAGCATATTTTCGCATATAAATACATACATATGCCTATAGCACACGCGGTACCTACGCTTCCAAATGTTGCTTTATGTATATTACTTTGTAAACTTATTTAATAAATTACTTATACAGTAAATAAAGTACTACTTAATAATACTTTCATCGAACAAGATAAATTTTCCATACAAAATTTATGTGCTCTTGCGCTGATGTTTTATAAAAGATAATGGTATATAGTCTTCCATATTGGTACGTTTCAATCGTACGGCACATCGTTTTAAATATTTGGAGGCTTCTTTTAGCGGTACCCATTGTGGCTTGGGCGTACAATTCTTAAATATTTGAGCACCTTTACCCATTTCAACTTCAAAGTCTATGGTATTTAGCGATTCATATTTGGCATCTGAACTACTATCGCTTGTCAAATTTATTTCATATGACCCGTTCGATGTAGTACTGGTCACTGTTTGTTCTTGTGCATTATCTTTTGTCTCACTCGTACACTTTACATCTGGAGATTTTAAACCAATTAATTCTTTGAGTCCCATTACATTGAGTAACTCCTCATATTCTTCAACGATATCTTTCACATGCGTTTGTGTTAGTTTAACTGTGGCTTTGGTTTCCAATTCAGCTTTTAGTATGAGATCCATCATTTCAGCTTCCAACTGCAAACGTTTATTTAGTGGTAACTGCTCGACCATGTCCATGTTATCGTATATGATTTGTTGCGCACTTGATAAATTATTGACACGCACGTCTGTAGTTTGATCCTCAAGTTGGATACTTATTTTTACAATTATCTGACGTAAAGGTTCTGGAATAGCAGACAAATCAAGCATTTTTGCCATTTTCTTTATAATTGGTTGTAATTTTTTCCAACGACGTTGCAATTCATCTTTGTTGAATAGCACCGGTGGTAGTAGCCCTATATAGTTTGCATTGAATGCCGTGGTAATGCGACTCCACGCCCAATCGTCATAATCAGGATCTTGGAACGGGCGCACCCGTGGATTGTATAGAAATGGATATAATTGTATCAGCTCCAAAAGTTTTTCATCGTTTAACACTGCGCCGCCTGAAGAATCAACATTATTTACATTAAGAACCTCAATATTAGAGTTTTCTTTCACATCGGCGGGGTAGCAAAAAATTGTACTTGAAGGAAGCTCTGAATCCATAGTTTTTAAATGAATTGAGCAAAAACCCACTATTTAATTATTAGAGTTTTAATACGAGAAAATTTACAAAAATTCAGCAGTCTCTTTAGTTGTTATTTTCTTATGATGTGTTCAACCGATGACAACGAAAAGTACATATCACAACTGAACATACATCATTGTACGACTGTACAATAAAATACATCTTTACTTTATTTCATTGCATGCAAGATTGAGAATTTTGTAATGGATAGTTCACAATAATAATGGTTCCTTAAATGTAGAATGTAAAAATCAGCTGGTATTTTAATAGTTGAAAGAATATGGAAAGTGATCAGGATTTGGTTGGGCCTCCCAAAGACATTTTTACCACAGCAGATAAAAGTCTTACGGATGAGGAAAAGTGTAGATTGGAGGCTCAAAACAGTCGTATGGTTCCCGAGTTCAAAGCTAAGAAACTTGAAGAGCAAGCACAACGTCATTGGGATATTTTCTACAAACGCAATGAAACACATTTTTTCAAAGACCGACGTTGGACCACACGTGAGTTTGAAGAATTATTGGATATACCACACGAAAAGAATCAAGAAGGCGGTGAAAAACAACGACGTTTACTTGAAGCCGGCTGCGGCGTAGGCAATTTAATATTTCCTCTAATCGAAGAAAAACAAGAGAGAAGTTCAGGTTCGAATACTTCTTGGTTTTATTACGCTTGTGATTTTTCACCACGCGCTATAGAGTTCGTTTGCTCAAATCCACTATATGATGAACGCCGTATAAAAGCATTCCAATGTGATATAACCACGGATCAAATACATGCTCATATATCTGCGTCCTCTTTGGATATTGTTACAATGATATTCGTATTATCTGCCATTCACCCTGAAAAATTTTCCGCTGTTGTGGAAAACATGTATCGCCTCCTAAAGCCCGGCGGTGTAATTTTATTTAGAGATTACGGACGTTATGATATGGCACAATTACGTTTCAAACCTGGCAATAAGATAGCTGAAAATTTTTACATGCGACAAGATGGCACCAGAAGTTATTTCTTTGCCGAAAAGGAATTGGCTGCATTGTTTACACATTCTGATAGGTTCGAGATTATTGAAAATTCCTATGTACACAGGCGTACGCTAAATATTAAAGAAGGCATTGATGTGCCTCGCATTTTTCTCCAATCGAAATTACGAAAGAGATAATTAATGTTTTTTGCATTTAATGGGAGTAATTTATTAATTATATTAATTAAATTTAATAATAGATAACATTTTGTTAGGTAACATTGAATAAATACATTTAATTAAAAATATCTAATTATATGTGTCGTGAGTGGAGTGATAAATTCTAAAAAGAAATTACAATTTTTTAAGTGACTTAGTGACTACTGGTTTACTGCTCAATAAGTGACAATACAAACATACATACACTTCTCATTAGCGTTATATGGAAGGAATATGATTGAAGTGCTATTTAGAAAAAATAAACAAGCTTATACCAAGGAAAACAACCATACATTGTTTGAATATTTTTGGAATTTAATTATATATGAATAATTCTTGTATGGATGCATAAACAAAATATTTTAAATTGCCACAATATTGTACTATATAATTTGAAAATGGTAAATAATCATTCGATTTCGTAACAAATACAATATTAATATTAAGTACACATTTGTTGAATTACTCTTTAGTAGCATCTTTTCAATCGCTTTTGTTTTTCAATTTCATGTGTCTTTTTTAATATTTCTTTTTTTGGTCAAAGAGAAAAAAATTAATGCTGAGTTAGGCAATATTAAATTCTTATAGGGGTTTCTTAATCCTAATAAACACCTAACCACCAATATTCATTCATTTCATTTATACCTAGTAACAATTATTTATACATGTACATATAGTGTTATTTACGCTTTAATTAAAAACTAATTGCAAATACATTCGTATAATATTTAACAACTTCAAGCAAAATTGTCGCTCAATAAAATTAAATGTTGGAAGTGCTCCCCAACATTTGGCACACATGCAACAATTTTTTATTGCTTTCATATCTGAATAAATAAACGTAAATTTTCGGAAGATTAACCCACTAATCCATACCCACATCTCCTACCTTAGTACCGCTCCCTACGGCAGTACCGCCTATCATTTGCGGAATTTCAATACTCGAATCAAAGCTTTTCGTTATTAAGTCACTGCTTGTAATTGAGTTTGTATTACTAGCTACACTGCTATTGTTTACTACATTGCTACTGGCACCACCACCATTTAATTCACTGTCGATACTAAAGCTACCGCTACCATTCTCATTACTTAGCAAGGACTGCATTGGTAACATTTCACTTGCATCCATAGTGTCGTAAGTTTTTCCCTTTAAACCGGCTGAAGATGGGCTCTTTTCGAAATCAGCCAAAGCCATGTTAGTGCCTTCAGCTTGTAATTGTAACAAAGAATTGCGCTGAGTATGCTTTTCGAACTTCCGAAGTGGCGGCTTTGGCGGTTCACCCGCCCCACCAATCCCACTTCCTTTACCATCCTTATCTTTCTCTTTGTCTTTATCTTTATCTTTATCCTTCTCCTTATCTTTCGATTTTTTGAAACCCGCTATTAAGGCCTTATGCGCCTGTGCTTTAATCCCTTCCATGCTGGGACGTATAATCGAGTTTCGTGATGATGTATTTTGTGTTTGCTGTTGATCTTTGGGATCGACTTCTTCAGTGACACTGGCTAACATTGGGGGTGCCTGCGGCATTGTGAGGTCTTGCACCTGTATTGGTATGTCGTCAGGCAACTTTTTAGTACGGAATGATGCATTGGTAATCATTGACTTGGATATGGCGGTGGTTACAGTATTCGTAGCAGGAGTAAGCGCCACACTTAATCCCATTGGACCATCACTGGGCTGACCTGAAGGATTTGCATGTAATGAGTTTCGAACAGCGCTAGTAACTAGTATAAGCTCCGTATACATCTCGAAACATGCGCGATGATGAATATCGTCCAACGTCTGTATTGCCACAGTTCCAAAGCCGTTAAACATCGCAAAATATATGGCATGAACCAACTCTACCAGGAATGATGAGGAAAGTGGAATGCGCGGGGTTATTGACTTGGGAACAAGTGTGCCACCTGAATCGGAACTAAAAAAAATTATTATAGTAAATAAATTCCACATATTAAATTAGCTCACCCATAAGAGATACGATGTGCATGTTGCTTTGAGAACCCTTGATTGACCAACTGCGATGCCACACGACAAAGATGTATTAAAGCTGATTTTTGTGTGAGGCTAACTTGCTGATTATAACAGAACATTAGTGCGGTCATTATACGTAGCCTATTTTGAGCAGTAATCGCCTCAATCTGAGCATGTGGACCCCATTTTATTTCTCGGTTACAATTCTCTTCCCAACGACGCAAATCTGTCATTGGCAAATTTTTTTCTTCATGATAGACTGACGCTTGTGCTAATATTGGCATGCGGAAAGTGACTACGTGCTGGCCGCCATCTTCAGTGGATATTTCTGCATTATAAATGCAAATAAGCAAAGTTTCTATACTCCGAGCACCCTTTTTGTCACCAGCGGCGACAGCGTGCAGGTACGTATAGATCAATACTGGAATGAATTGTAAAGGAAATTTTTTCAGCGAGTCTTCAGGAGCTCTATAAAAGGCTAGAAATTGTTGACAAATCTCATGTACAAGGATTTCATGTCGTTGTCGTTCACTAAATATTGTGTAAATGGCTTCGGCAATTTCAGGGTCCGTCTCATGATCCACAGCGAAGGATGACACTTCAGCTGGTTGGTTTTGTATACGGCGGTAATCTGCCAGCCAATCCTGTACAATTGATTCCGCCATAGCTGATTAGTACTGTGTGATTAATTTTTTTCTTCACTATGGACAATGTTAATATTATAACGATTTGGTTACGATTGAAGTGATTAATTAGGGAAATTGTGAAAATTTATATTTTGACGTAACTTTTTACTGAATCAATTTATCAATTCGTCACACAAGTGCTTCTTCGCTGCATGGGCTCACATTCACAGTAGAAATTACAAGGTTAGCAAGAAGTAACACTTTATATAAAAATATGGACTTTTGCGAGGTTAAAGAGAAATTAATTTGATTTATCATTGATTAACTTAATAATAATATAAAATACAGCTACTAAAAACCTCTTCATATATTTCCTGTGCCATTTGGAGAGACTTGGAAGTAAATATTTCCACATTTTATAAATGGACTTGGCATCTCTAATATATCATAACAACAGCTGATCATTTAGAACCAATATCAAAGTAAATTTATAAAACAGATTATTTACAATTGGAAAACAATTCTTCTTAGATTCCGTTTTATGTCGAAAATGTTAGCAGATGATATTGAAGATAATGATGAAGAAACGACTGTGGTTGAAGAAAAATTTATAAAAACCAAAGGAAAATGTAGTACGTACTCATTGCCAAACCTTATTTTTTAATAAACTTTGCTCATGCTTACAGAGATTCATTTGAGGCCTAATGATATATATCTTAAACTAAAATCAAAAAATCGTGTCGGTAAATGTAGGGGCGCTGGCTACTTGGATATTTGGGATGTTAGTATTACAATGGGACGAAATAATGGCAATTCAATTGACGAATATAACACCATACCAAATGAAATATGGTATCATGTTGCGGATCACATTCCCCCTGAATATGTTCAAACTTTTGCCCTAATTTGTCGCCAAACTGCAGATCTTGTCAATACACGAAAGTTTTGGAATCAACTATATAAAAATTATTGCCTTAAACCGAATGGTGATTTTAATTGGATAACTGCACTGCCTGAACACTTACAGATGCATAGTTTACGCAGCTGCGACAAAGTGACTTTGCGTGCACGAGTGGTTGAATCGCTCTTTCTAACATATCTACCATTATCGGAACGTACTGCCCAAACATATTCTCTCGATAAGCTGCTCGGGTATTCCTACGTAGCCTCGTGGCATGAGCAGGAAAATTGTGCTTGGATTATGTGCTATAAATTCCGACAGAAACATATGCAAGTCAATAAAAAAGGCGTCGATTTAACTGATTTATTTCCTTATGAAAATGAACTTGATGATTGGGAAACTTTGGCGGAGAACAAATCCTGGTTCAAAACTCACTATACTGGCCCACGGAATGATTTGAATGAAGGTGTAAGCTTATTGATAATACGATGTGAACGTTATATTCCGTTTCCCAGTCAATTGCTTTATGAAAGTGGAGAATCACGCGCACTGCTCTTGGGGATTCGACAAATGCTTGCTAAAGATATGCGAGGCACAAACCTGGAATTAGATTTTGGGGAAACGCCAAAAAACATAATAACTACTGTGAAATATCCCAAAGTTATGAGTGTTAAAGCCTACCCATGGTGGTATCCAGAGTTTCGTAAATATATAAAATAAATATGGTTGATTGACTTAAGATGTAATATAAATAAACATTTTGTATATATCAAGAGAAGACAACATTTTTATTATTATGAAACTATGTACAAATTTTACTGAAAGGTGTGCTTAAGGGTAATATTCGCAAAGAACGTATATTAATATACGTTCTTTGATATACGTTCTCTGCTGAAATACGGTTTGTTTAATAAATATATCGATATAACGATAAGCCCAATAGTAAATAAATGTATTGTGACTGGTGATGATGATGAAGAAGAAGCAGAAAATATTATAAATTTTGTTTGCGTGGACAAATACATTAAACATTGTTAAATAATATAAACATTTTCGTCTATAAAAATGAACGTAAGTCATTATTCATTACAATATTATCACTGCATTCCACCTTTTATTTCCATCGTCGTAGGAAGCAGATATTCCAATTGATATTCATACGCTAAAGCTGCAAGATTGGCTGATAAGTAGACGAATTGTACCAAAAACGATTCAGAAAAATATCAAAGAGATCCGTACAAAAATTTCAAATGCACTTCAGGATATGCCAGCGAATGACCAACTTATAAAATTATTGTCCGGTACAAGTGAGTATAATGGATTTATTTGTATGTAAATAAAATAACAAACGCATTTTTTGCTGTATACAATATCAATTTAAGACATAAACTACTATCATTGTAAGGAGATAGTGGAAATACTCAAACAAACTGAAAAAGAGACTAAAAGTGTTTTTGGTACTTATGGCAGTCAAAGAATGAAAGATTGGCTGGAGATACTGCGCTTGTATGAAAAAGAAAACGTATACCTTGCTGAGGCTGCGCAGATATATGTTCGAAATGTAAACTATGAGGTGCCTGGTGTTCGCAAACAAATGACCAAACTGGAGCAACAAAGTGATGAATGTATAAAGCGTGTACAAGATCTTGGCAAGCCGGAGGCACAATTACTGTCCGAACATGCGGCACTTTTGCAACAACTCGGCGTCAAAGGTGATCATCTGCGGGATGAATTTTTACAAGTTTTAGCAAAATTACCGGAAATGTATGCGAACTCAATACGGGATATTGGAAAGTTAGGAGAGGCAGTTAACCTTTTCTCTGAAGGAAGTGATAAGCAGTGTTTACCATTATTGCGACACCTTATTGAGTTTGGAAACACAACCGTTTATCAGTATGTGAACAAAGAAGCGCCTTTGACAATTGAAGAACCACCAGTTAAATTAAACTTAAGTGAGGATAACACTATGGCGAATACTGATGAAAACGAAATTGATTTTGGCGGTGACGATAATGGTGGCACGTCATCCACAATATCAGCGGAGATGATAGATTTTGGCGAGTTAAGTTTGGATGTAAACAACGTCGCAAATGAAACGGATCCTAATGACGGTGACATTGACTGGGGTATTGAAACTACTCCGACTGATGTTGTAGAGATAGATTTGGACATACCAATTGAGGAATATGGTATTGTTATAGAAGGTGCTGGTTTGGACGGAGGAGTAGCAAAAGGTATAGCTTTACATAATAGAAAAATCATTAATCATAATGTATTTTATTTTTAGGGGAGCAAGCTTACACAATTCTAGATTCACCAACTTATCGTGATAGATTTTTGGATGAAATTTACGAGTTAGAAGCGTTTTTGCGTATGCGTTTATATGAACTTAATCAGTTGGACGCATCAAGTAATATAATGTTCTCACTAATGGATACCATTTCCACCTACGATGCAGACAGCATTCGAAAAATGCTAACAAATATAGAAAAAGTTTTATGTGAAATATGCAATGAACAAACTCGACATCTCTTTCAACTTAAACATTCGCCAAAATATGCTGATTTGCTGGCGAATAAGTTAAAACAAATGACCAAGGCTGTGGATAAAATTCGTGACACTAAGGAAGTCCTTAAAAATCGCTCGCTTGAATTGAAGCAGCAGCGTGTTGATTTGAATCCTGTTCTGGCTGAGTTGGTGGCACAGACTAAAAAGCTTCAATTAAATATTGAAAACGATATATCCAAACGTTACAAAAATCGTGTGGTAAATCTAATGGGAGGTGTAAATTAATGTTTTTAATTTTTTTATATCGTTAACAATGTTACGTAACATGAAAATATGTATTTATTCAATTTTAATAAAATGCGCATATACCTATCAGCTAATATATTTGTTTATTATTTGATACAATAATAAATGTAGACATGACCTTTTGATGTACATAGGTCTAAATTAATTTTTTTATATTCAATTGGAGCTCAAGAGTTTACTCGTAAATTTTGAAGCAGATATTGGAAACTTTTGAGAACGCACCCGCGCATTGGGTACCTTTTTTCTATAACTTTAAATATTTTTTTGGAAAGTGTGAAAGTTATTGAAATAATGATTCAGTCAAACTTTTAAGCTCAACTGCTTATCGGTAGTGAACACCACTTGTAACTTCTGATGGCGTCTGTTCAGTTAAAGTCTTGAAAGCTTTAATTGGAAATTATGTTTTGTAATATTTGATTTTTAAATATCTTGCATTATTTTCTTGTTTTAAATAAAACCAAATAAAACGGCATCAAATGATGAACGCCTTGAAAAAAGGCATTTAGTTGTAAATAATTATAATTAGAATCATTAACTCTCATGTTTTCAGAACGATGGCAACTCCTTGTGAGATAGACAAGAAAACAGAAACAAAACGACAAAAAACTGATAAACGCATAAAACCGATTGGATTGTCAGAAATTTTTCGTTCATTCATTCAGTCTTTGTTTTTCATTGCATCTCGCTAAATATAAAAAATCCAATAATTCCTACCAAACGGAAACTAAATTTTTCTAGTAAACTAGTAGAGGAGAAAAATCCAAATCAACGCGTATTTTAATTCCATGCCATTAATTAATTACTAATTTTATTCAACCAAGTTGTGTTCGTGTGAAAAAATTTTAGTTCACTAAAAAAAATCAAGACCTAAAAATACCTACCATTCATACAAAAATTATATTATATTATCAAAAGGAGACATAGTGAACGCAAAAACTTTAAGTAATAAAGATATATACGCATATATTTTAGAAAAATTGAAAACGAAGGAATTAAAATTACGGCAGCAAAACGAAAGCAATAGCAACGGCGGCGTGGAAAGCTTCAACGTTCAGCTACGCGTGCACTGTTCAACAGCGCTGCCAGCGTCGAGTTGAAGGATAAATTGAAAAAATACATACTTACGTACAATTTTACAAAAAAAAAAATTAATTAAATTTGAAACAAACTAGGCGCTGAGCGCAACAGCGAATAAAATTGAAAGGATGACCTCTAATTTGCGTCAAATCCCGTTGACTTGCAGCGGCCATACACGTCCCGTAGTGCACTTGGATTTTAGTGACATTTGCGAGAGCGGTTACTTTCTCATTTCGGCTTGTAAAGGTAATTATTATTCTGATTGCTTACAGTAGGTGGACATGAAAATCCAAAGTTGCAAAGCATAATTTTCATTATTTCCCAAAAATAAATAAATAGGTCTGAGAGAGTTCCATAAAACTAAAAACCGAAAAATATTTTTTTTTGTTTTAGATTTCATATTAGAAAGAAGGCTTATAAATTCAGCGTGTTCCAATCTGTAAGCCCGATCATCTTAACAATTAGCATATTTAAAAAAAAATGATTCCCGAATTTATTTTTAACCGTTGGGATTTTAATTAAGCTGGTTAAGCATGCGCAAAAATAGACCATAAAATAATTTTGAAAACAGTCAATAATATATGTACTCGTATATTAATTGGTAGACCTTTCGTTGGTTTCATTGCCCAAGGCAAGCCTTGACCTACATCTTTTGATGACGTTTCAAGTGATCACAGATCACGAATAAAATACGCAAAATTATTTGAGATGAAATGTGTACTGCTCCAAACGAAACCAGTTTTACACTTTTGTTCTGTCCTATATGTGCTAATTGCATGTATTTCGCCCAGCCGGTAGTTTGTTGGCTAGCGTGCAATGATCATATGTATGTATGTACGCGTTGCAAAATGAATAGTTGAAAAAATCTCTCGTTGTTCGTGGCCTCAGTCGATCCTCCGACTTCCCTAGTGCGCAAAGTTTATAAATATTTTACGAAATAGTTTTTATTGCTCACGCTATAAGCTCTGCTGCAAAACTTTTCGCTGCAACTTGTTTCGTTTCTCGATCGTTTGCTGTTGTTATACATTTGTATGTAGCGTTTGCTGCATGTTTTGCTCATACGGGAAGCACCTTGAAGCTGTCGCTTGCTTTTTTCTCTTTGCCATTTTTGTTGTTATACTCGTACACTTGTATTTGTTTTGTATTGTTTTCTTTACATGTAATCAATTTTAATTATTTTATAGGTGCCTAATATACAAATTTTCTACGTTTTGTTGTTAGTTTTCTATTCATTTGTTTAAATTGATAAATACTGACATACATACGATACATACGAGTATGTATAACGCAAATTATTAAATAGTTTTTCGAATTTATATATATAAATATGTGTACATATTTATTAATTTTGCATTTAGAGGTTAAATATTGCTTTTACTGTTAGCATTATCATCATATTGAAATAAATCAATCTCTGCCCGTTCTGCTTTAGGTGTAATGCATGTATGTACATATGTATGTAGTCAACTCCAAATATGATTCCGTATGCATTTCCTAATTATTCTCGCTACTCGTTCAACTGTTCAGCCAAACTTGTTCCTTTGTTATGCGTAACAGTTATGCGTGCAATGTAAAAGGTATATGCATACGTACTATGTATGGCATATACATGTATATGCGTTTATGTAAATAATTGCAATTAAACAACCGATAATCAGTTAGAGGTAGCGAGATAAATTAATATAAAGAATTTATTATAAAAATGCCTGTTCACCTTGATTTAGAATGTCTACACGATTAACAAAGTGCAACGAATGCAATGCGACTGCGAGCAAAATATCAGGAATTGACGAGTGCGCAGCTGCATAAAGCTTTTTCATAGACAACAATTGCAATTATATGAAATAAAAACGGCGAAAGTGCAGACTGCAATCAACTTAGGGGCGTGTAAGCAGGGCATCTAATGGATTTATGAATATAAAAAAATATAACGGTAATTTGTTGTCGCACAAAACTGAGTGGGATAAAGGTCAAACATTTTTGCTAGATGCATGCATACATATATATATATTTAAATATGTATAAATTTTTGTTTGTTTATTTATTGGTTGCCTGTTGGTATAAGGAGCAAATTTCATAGGAGTTTTCAAGCAGATTCAACTTGCAGTTAACTCAAAACAGTTTGCTTTCGGCACCGGAACTGTTTATATCGAAAGAAATTTTCAATTTATATATTTTATGCAATTTTTTTTTTCTATAAAAGCTGTTTGACACAGCAGGAAATCCTTCAATTCCGAAATCTTGACTAATTTACAAACATAACTCGTAGGGGAAAAAACAACCAAACTTACAAATCTTGCAGTCGATAAACGTTTTAGAATGTTTTCAGTCAACATCTTGTTTATAATTAATTTTTTTTTTGCTGCAACAGCAACGTGTGTCAAAAGCGCTAATCTTATCAAAGGCGCGATAGATTCGCCATGCATTGCAACACGCGATGCTCGTATATACGACTATTAGTGTTTGTGTGTACACATATGTATGTATGTATGTATATAAAAATGCATGTCTGCCATAGCAGTCGCGCTAATCGACTCACCCGCTAGTAAGTCGTACTCAGGTCGTTGGCATTGATGCAGTCATTGAGTCAAGGTTGCTTCCGCTTTTTTTTTTTGTTCGCCAACGCTGTAGTTTACATTCGTCTCGTTGTTTTTGGTTTTATTTTATATCAACATTACCACTTTTGTAATGTGCATTTCCATACATGTATGCACAAACGTACATACTTACATATGCGAGTGCATTTATATTTTTAGTTATTTATGTTTATTCATGTGGGTATATTTTTGTATTTCTTTATTTTGAGACAAGCGCTGCTGGACAGGATTTCAACGTTAACGTTTACCTTGAAGTGTTTTCCTTTATAGATTGTAAAGAGAGCAATGTTCAAGGTATTTTCGAAAGACATTCTGACTGTTTTTTTTTCTTTTCAGTAGAATGCTTTTTCACACGTACTGAAAATTTAATTTAATTCTGCTTAAAAGAACTCTGGATCTTTATGTTTTGAAAGGAATTTAAAAGAGATTATTTTTTTATAATCTTCTCTTTATAATTAATTGTCTACTAACTACATTTACAAATGACGGAAAATTACTTACCAATAGTTCGTTGTTTAATATTTTATTCCAGATGGCAGTCCCATGCTGCGGCAAGGTGATACCGGCGATTGGGTTGGCACATTCGAAGGTCATAAAGGTGCTGTTTGGGGTGTGGCGCTGAATAAGAGTGCCACTTTGGCCGCATCTGGTGCTGCGGACTTTACTGGAAAAGTGTGGAATGCCGTTACGGGCGGTGAAATCCATAGTTTTCAACATAAGCATATTGTGAAATCAGTTGCATTCGATACGAACTCAGAGAATATCGTCACCGGCAGTAATGAGAAATTGGTGCGCGTATTTAACTTAGAGCAACCAAATGCTGAACCGGAAATGTATGCTGGTCATACTGGTGCTTTAAAGCGGGCACTCTTCTGTCGTGACGATAAATGTATATTATCGGCAGCTGAAGACAAAACCGTACGTTTATGGGATCGTCTAACTGGCAATGAGGTACAACGACTACAATTTCCACATAATCCAAATAGTTTGGAAATATCGGCTGATAATCACATTCTTACCATAACACATGGATCGACAATTAGTTTCTGGGAGGTGGACACTTTGAAAAAGCTGAAGGAAGTTAAAGTTCCGACTAATGTGTCGTCGGCTAGTTTACATCCAGATAAACATGTATTTGTGTGTGGTGGAGAGGACTTTAAAATGTACAAATTTGATTACATTACTGGTAATGAAATAGGTGAGTACACAACGTTATTTTTAGAAAAATGTTAAATGTAACTAAAATGTTTTTTCTTTTATAGAATCTTTCAAAGGCCATTTTGGTCCAGTGCACTCAGTTAAGTTTAGTCCAGATGGTGAATTATATGCTAGTGGTTCTGAAGACGGCACATTACGCCTTTGGCAGACAACTGTCGGCAAGACGTATGGGCTGTGGAAGTGCACCGAACCTGGAGAATTGAATAACTCTATGAATTCCCCACGCGAAGTACATGCTAACTAGATACGTATTTGTTAATTAATGTGAGCCGATGATTGTGGGTAATTTCAGCCCAATCGGTATTAAGAGTGAAGCGGTTCTGATGCTACTTTAAATCTGATTTCATTAATTTATGGAAACCAATTGTTTTGCAAAACTACTTTGTATCATAAAACAATTTTTTGAGTAAACGATTTTTGGAAAGTTTTGATAAGAAATTCGAGTATTTTTTTTAAGTTAAAATCCATATATACATATGTTTGTATTAAATAACATTTACTTCATTTGAGATATTAAGTAGCTGGCAAAATACTGAATTTAATTTTCAAATTGCTTTTTACTTAAAAAAAAAATGAACGGACAGGTTTGAGCATATTTTAGTATGTAATACAATAAGTGATTTCAAATAAATACGTACACATTTTCCTACTTGGTAACATTCGTGTTTTCATTTAGTTTTTTTTTTAAACAAATTTAGTACGGCGAAATTCAGATATGTGTTCCAGTCGCCCAACCGTGCAAGTAGATGGTAGTGAAATTTAGAACATTGCCACCCTGGCGAATTTCTGGTCTTTGTTGTAGGTGATCAAACCAGCGAGAAAGGTTTAAATAGTTTTCCTTATCTACGGGCGAAAGTGATTTCTGTAATGAAGAAAATTTTAGGTATAACGATGATGGTAAACTGAATTTAGACTAAAAACTTACCACTAAATTGTATATGGAGTAGAAGATGGCCAAATCGGCTAATGTAATAAAGTAACCTACTAAATACGATTTAGTCGAGAAAAGTTTATTAAAATCCCGCAGTAGTTGTTGAGAAACATGCTTGTCTTTAGAACCTGGGGCCGCATACAATACGGCAAATTCTATCCATTGATATACATCAGCACTTATTTCTCGACTAGCTGTGCTGTTGCGTGCTATTTCCGATTCTGATTCCTGTGCTAGAGTGTTAAGAATGGTGGCAAAGCCTGAAACAGTTTTGCTGTTGTTCGTACGTGTGATTATCTGAAATGCCTCTAATTTATAAATTTACATTTGACTGAATATTTTCTTTGAGCTTACCTTTTCAGAATTCAATTTCACTTCACCAGGTGGAACTCCAAGAGAGTTCGCGATTTTTGTTATTGTATCTACTTCACACATAATTCAGCAATTGGTTTTCGCAAAATGATTTAAGCTGTTTTGTTATTATTTGTCAAAATATCAGAAAATCGTCAGACTCCACGTGAAATACCAGTTTTTAATTAAATTTTAATGTTTATCAAACAGCTGTTTGGGTGTTGCCAGATTGTTATTTGCATTGAAACAGCTATGGCATGCTAAATACTAACGAACATTATTTCGTTCACGACATTTTTATCGCGAAGAACCGTTTGCTCACTTTTGTAATTGAACTCTCGCTGAGGTAGGTACACTTCTGAGAAAGAAAATTGAAAAACGGGTTTTAATTATTCTTATTTTTATTTTTTTTATTAAGTAATATGTATATAGTAAATTCAATTGTTTCGAATAGGACCGCCTGTGCTGTGGGTTAACGTAAGCGCCTCATATGTGATGTCATATTGTAATAGAAATATGAAAACAGTTGACATGGCCATGAGTAGCTGTAAAAAATAATAATCGTTATTATTTAGTATATAGTATTTAGTCGACTGCTTTCAATTAGAGTTATTTCGTACTGTTGTGATAAAGCTGAGATTCAATTCTGCTACACCGCAAACAACATTAGTTCTAGTGTTTATTGTTAATTGCAACACAAAATGTGTGACCTGCAAAAGAACAAAAGAGCAAAAGTATTGGAACTGTATACCTAATTAAAAAAAAGGTATGCGTACCGTTTCTTCCACTTCTTTGTTCTGTGTTCTTCCAATCTCATTTATGATCAGTATTGTACTATTTTTCTGAAATAAAAGCAAGATAATTCTATTAAATATATATTGTATTTACATGTATGTTTCCACGTCGCTTGATTCTATTCGTTATTTATTCTCTAATTCGCAATTGGCAGCGTAATTAAGTTGTCAATATTGATCAAAGCCGAAAGTTGAAACAAAGGAAACGGTCAATATATTATATATACATTCATACACTGAGCGACAACCGATTAGCACACCCTATGCTGCTCGTCTTAGAAACTTAATATCAGGAAAACTAAAAAAGCTTTTCAAATACATTTTTTTTCCCTTAAAAGAATATATAATTTCACACGAAAATTCGTAGAAGATAGTATACTAACATTATCAATAACATTTTAAATTAATGTAAACAAACATAACCTACAAAATTCACTGTTATTTTTGCGACAGTCGATTAGCACAGTCACTTGAAAACTTAAAATAACAACAGAAAATGGGTTCAAACTTCATTCAAATTGTTTTTTAATATTAATTTAAATATTTTTAACTTTTTTTGAAAACAAATTAATAATGTGTTGAGCCTCCACGGTTAAGTATGACTTCGTACATCCGCTGAGGTAAGGAGTCATATAATTTCTTTATATAATTGAGTGAAACAGCCTCCCAGGACCTTTTTATTCCTTCAATGAGTTCTGCTTCAGTTGAATACTGCCTGCCGGACTCGTACATCTTTCGTGCCAGCCATCCCCAAACATTTTCTATAATGTTTAGGTCGGGAGAGTATGGCGGCCAAGTCAGTAATTCCACGTTTTGACCATCAATCCAGGACTGGCTGTGTGGATAGGTGCGTTTTCCTGCTGGAACTTCCATTTCAAGGGTCCAAGAATATCCTTGATTGCAGGGAAAGCCGTATTCAGTACACCTTTGTACGCAATAGCATTCATACCGCTGGTAAGAAACTGCAATTCTATAGTGCCAAAGTATGTTAAAGCTCCCCACACCGTGACACCACCCGCACGGCTGTGCAATCCATCCAAAATATGCTCTTCCTTTCTGAGATCATGAAAGTAGTAGGCATAGCCGTCAGGACCCTCCAAATTGAACTTTTTTTCATCTGAAAAGACTACACGCTCCTACTCCTTAGTCCAGGTCATATTTGATCGACAGAAATTGAGTCGTTGCATCTTTTTAAGTTGGTTTAGAGGTGGTTTTTTTTAATTTTAGATGCTTCATATGTCCAGCATTCGAAATAACTCTTTGCACGGTCCGAACGCACGCTTTAACACCAGTTTTTTCCTTTATTTTGGCGGCTGAGTCGTGGGAATTAGATGCGTGTCGTAGTATGATTCGCTAGTCAGCTGCTGTTATTACTGATGATGGTCGACCTTTCTTGTTTTTCCCATATGTATCCACATTGCTTAAATATGCGGTAATAACTTTACGGTTGCGCTTAATATTTTTTGATATTAGAAGAATAGAGTGCCCGCACTCCCTGTAAGCCTTTATTTTGCCTTTTTCAGACTCATCGAACGGTTTTCCTTTGCCCATTATTAATTTATTTTATTGATAATTAGTCCAAATAAATAAATAATAAACTCAAACACCCAATCAAGGCAGGTTACACGCAAAAAGTGACATGAAAGCGAAAATGTGGTAATCGGCTGTCGCAAAAAACATGCATGCATTTTTGTCGCACTTCAATGAAGAGAGCAAAGCAAAATAACGGTACACTTCCAGAGCTCACAGTTATACTTAGAATGAGCGAAAACGATACAGAATAAAAGGAAAAATAGAGTACGCATGAAACATATTCAGAGTAAGGAGTTATTTTCCTTTAAACTGATAGGTTAGAGAGTGTGGTAATCGGTTGTCGCGCAGTGTATGTCCATATTATAAATAAAAAGATTCTCAAAAAACAATTACATACTTCAATCTCATATTACCTGCCTCTGGACATCGTAATTGTAGAAAAGTATTAGAAACATTTTCGTTATATGCAGGATTGTCCAAATAACCGAATATAAAATCCACCAAACGGCCACCCCTTGTATGTCGTCTACATATTTGTAAATCAAAAAAAGATTCACCGACGCATTCGAAAAAGAGCCAACATATACCAACACCATAGAGGGCGCAAAAGCACTGTTCACATCCTTTGTGAAGACTTGCAGCGCCGAGTAGAGCAGACGAATGCGTTGCAGCGTTCTTGAGCACTTCTGGCGCGATATCTCCTCATGGAGGATTTCATTCAGACGAATCGAACGCTGGGCGATAGCATATAAAAGTGTATAGTATTGCACTAGCGAAACGCATAATATTAAATTTGGCAGGAGATAAACGGTGAGACTGCGAATAGAGGACGCCACAACACAATCTCTGTAGAAATAGTCAACAACGGCGGTGGTTATCAAGAATATAAATATCAAAAACAAATGAGCTCCGATAAAACTTTTCAATCGTTGGTATTTCGGTTTTTTACCGAAACTCATTAGCGCCAGATCGAACTCAGCGATGGTGCGCAAAAAGCGGCGACACTTGTCACGTGCCAAATAACCCATAAAAGCAATGTGGAATATATGGATTAAGTAGATTAGATATTCGGCAAAATAAAGCGGTTTTTGAATTGTTGGCAAGCTCATAAGGGTTTGCGTATATTCGCCATACACGGCGAAAACAAGGCAGATGTAAATACAAATACACCAAACGATGTGCAGGAAGAGTAAGAAGTGATCGCTGCTTCTGTTGGTCGGCATATATTGATGGGCGCCATAAGGCAGTGCGACGAAAAACACTGAAAGTAACAAAAAATGCTGAACTACGCGATACAAGTCCGTCTCTAGCACATCGACCGTTATATGCTGACCGACTGGACCGAAGAAGAAAGGTCGTATTTTCTGCGATTTCCGTTTAATACGACTTCCGCGCACTATTGACGGTAACATAACGCGAACAGCAACTGTGGGTAATAAACACTAGATGGATGAGCCCTAACGGTGCAGCACAAAGCGTTTAACTGGTGTTATCAATTAATAATCGGTGTGATTAATGATTACCTTTCGGTAGGTAATTGTGTTAAATATTTATTATTGTAATATTGTGGCTCACACGACTATGTACACAGTTTAATTCTGGACTTAATAATTTATATCTCAGTGGACGGCACGACGTTTTGTGTGTAATCCTTGGTGGTTGTAGTGACGGTTTCGGATTAAAACAATTGCTGTCACTAATCACAAATTTTAATCAAAAAATATAAAAAGTCCTTTAATTTTTTTATTTATTCTTCTTCTTTTTTACTCTCGTATTTACTGCTTACGCGATATTTGCCGAGTTAGCAACAGTGCGCCATTCAGTATTTCTTTTCGCTATTTGATGGACGCAAATTGGAAATATCAAGTAAAGCCAGACCCTCCTACACCTGATCTTTAAAACGGCGCGGAGATCTTTCTCTTCTTCTACTTTCACCGGCGTGCATTGGATCGAAAACTTTCAAAACCGGATCAATTTAACCCACATAACCTGGCCAGCGTAGCCGCTGACTGTTGAATAGCTGAGCTACGTCGAGGCCGTTCCAACGACTACGGTTATCACCGTTGCCAACGTGCAGAGGGCCATAAATCTTAAGAAAAAGCTTTTTCTTGAAAACTCCCAACGCCGACCATCAGATGTTGTCATCGTCCATGTCTCCGCAATATATATCAGGACGGATATGATGACTTGTAGAGTTTGTAGAGTTTGGTCCTTGTTTGTCGAGAGAGGATCCCGGCTCGAAAAAAGAAGTCCTCTTTTGACGCTATCCATGAATCAATCCATTTTTCCGATTCTTCGAAGGATTGAAAATGTTGATCTGCCAGGCCGTGTGCCATCGAACGGAATAGGTGGAAGTCAGAAGGGGTGACATGTGGGGAATACGACGGGTGGGGCAAGACTTCCCATTTTAGCGTTTCCAGGTACTTTTACATTTTTTTGATATCGAACATCTCGGAGAGGTCCTTTCCGATCCTGACGGGGCTTTTGGTGCCGCTTAACGTCAGTTTACATAAACGTATACGTTTTGCAGAGATACCGTATTTGTATAGCATAGCCGGCAACCCAAAAGCCCCTGCCGCTTCGTTGTCCCTCCGGCGGGCGATTGTTGCCATCGCTAACGATTGGGAAATAGAGTTTGCCATTTTCTCTTGCTCCATTTTCACTGCTATTCAACAGGCTGGAGAAGTGTTTCCTCCATAAATTCAGTATACTTTGGGCATTAGTCGCTGGCTCACCTCTATGGGTCCTACAAGAGTTTGCTATTACAAATGTAGCTTTTCCACCCTACTGACGAGGTTCGAACGGTTATAATCTAGTAGCAGAGTAGTAAGGTGAAAGTTGAGTATTAAGCTACGGTTTCATAAGCAAACTAGGAATACCGTTATTTTCTGTTTACTTTTCAATTTGTACCTAACAAATTTGTATGACTTCGCAATTGCATAATACTTTATTTCCTTTCACTATCTTAATTATATACGAGTATGTGACATATGTATGTACAATAAATATATGCTTTCCATTTGAATCACAGCTTTAGTGTACATAAAAATTTTAAATAGCTATTCATTAAAAGTTTCCTTATATAATAAATATCTACACATATGTGTATATATATATTAGGTGTAGTAAAAAGTTCGTTCGGTTTTTATTTAAGAGATTTGCGTTATTGTCCATAGTACTTCTGTCGATTCATTGACTCAGAACGTTGTGAGCGCTCGTCAAAGATGGACACCATCAAATGGAAAATTCGCTATATTTTACAATTTTTCTTCGATCAAGGCGAAAAAGCAGCCATAGCCGCTGAAAAATTTAATTTAGTTTATGAGCCCGATACTGTAAACGAACGTTTAGCACAAAAGTGATTCGCTAGGTTCCGTTCCGGAAATTTCGATGTCAAAGATGCACCAAGTTTTGCTCTGTGCTTAGTGGGATTGGCAAGGAATCATCTACTACGAGCTGCTCCCCTATGGCCAAACGCTCAATTTGGCCCTCTACTGCCAACAACTCAACCGCTTGAAGGCAGCACTCATCCAGAAAAGACCATCTTTGAACAACAGAGGCCGAATTGTGTTCCATCAGGAAAACGCCAGGCCACACACGTCTTTGGCGACGCGCCAGAATCTGCAGGAGCTCGGGTGGGAGGTCCTAATGCACCCACCTTATAGTCTGGACCTGCCACCAAGTGATTACCATCTTTTCCTGTCCATGGCGAACGCACTTAATGGTGAGAAGTTGACCACTAGAGAGGCCTGTGAAAATTGGATCTCCGAGTTTTTTGCCAAAAGGGACACAGCCTTCTGTGAGAGAGGTATAATGCAGTTGGCATCTCGTTGGCAACAAGTTTACGAACAAAACGGCGCATATTGGACTGAAATCGGACAAATGTACACAAAGTTATCATATTTTGATAATAAAAAACCGCAACCGAACGAACCTTTTACTTGACCAAATATATTCCCAAACGCAACTGCTAGCGTTGGGTGCAATGCATTCAAAACCAGCCATACGTTGCAGTTTGCCTGAAATAGCAAGAGTAGAGAGCAGCATTTAAAATACAAAAATAAAGAAAATATTTCGAGTAAATAATACAATAATATATAATATAAAAATTTTATATTTGTTATTTTCAAATAGTGAGTGAACTTGAAATTTTAGGTAATTTTATTTAAAAACTTAGAATTGTTATACACATTTCTATGTCTAGAGTTTATAGCAATTAAAAAGGTCAAAGAGCAGTGGGTACGCCTAAAAGTATGCAACACGTATGATAATCATTATTTCATTCACTTAAGCTTATGGATTTTTCGAAAATATTTCTCGACTTCTTCAGAGAATCTATAATAATGAGAAGGTGCAAGATGAAGGTACTTTTGCTTCTGACGCAATTTCAAATTACTTTCGCAGAAGCCAATATCATTTATTTGAAATAATTTAATTTTTTAATTTTATTTTTTTCTATTAAATTTTTTTTTTTTACATTAATAAAGTATTCATGATGTAATGAACATAAAAATAAAAAAAAGCATGTAATTTATAAATTTTAATTTTATGTGGTGATGTGACGTCATTGCTAGTGCGTGCGTATATTTGTGTTTTTGGTATTTTTGCTTCTATCTTCTAATTATTTCATAATTTCTATTATTATCTTTTCTATATATATTTATTTTATATTTACTAATATTTTTTGAATATATCAAATAAATAATGATAAAAGTAAAAAAATGAATAAAAGCAAAAAAAGAAAACATTTCAAATAGATGTAATATTTTTTAAAATGTATGTATATACAGCCTTGGCCAAAAGTATTAGGCAATCCACCAATTACTAAATTTTTTGTTTTAACAAGTGAAGTAATGAAGTCTTATTAGTAAAACAGTAAAAATATACAATGAATGAAGTGATAATAACATTAATATTTAGTAGGTCCACCCTTCGTTTTAAAAACGGCAGCAATTCTCTTAGGCATGCTGCATAGAAGCTTTGCACATTCGTCCGCACTTATAGCGTACCAATCGTTAATTAAGGCATTCTTTAAGGTTAGTTTTTGATGTTATACTGTGTTCCTTAATCTTTCGTTTTAAAATAGCCCACATGTGCTCAATGCGATTAATATATATCTGGAGACAGTGGAGGCCAATCTAAGAAAACAATGTTGTTATTGGATGAGTGCATAAGTTCGTGCCCGAACAGTGGGTAATCTGCATGATATTCTTCACCAACCAGGTGTTCTAAATATCTGTGGAAAAGAAAATATAATGTTTTCATAAGGTTTTTATTATGTCTTCATAATTGCTCTAGGGGAAGAAGCTATGGCTGTTAATACTTTAAGACGATCATAACTAAGCTTACCTCAGAGGTTGATTCATCAGACCACAGAACATTCGATAAATCTTCTTCCGTGAAATGTTGGTATCGGAGAGCCCATACCAAACGATTTTTCCTATTCTTTTTTGAGAGCCAGCTGCTTTCAGAAGTATTTTTCTAGCTGTTCGATCACTAGCTGGTTTATTAAATTCATCCGAAAGGGTAGCTGTAAGGGCAGAAGAAGATTTTTTGCGATACTTGAGAGACTCGCGTATAAGTATTCGGTCTTCTCTACTGGTTAGACGCTTCCTTACACTTTTTTTATTTATTATTTTGTCTCCACAAATCGCCTGATAGCACATTATAAGTCTTTCTTCCTCACAGAAAAATCATGACTCCGTCTAACCCGAGGAAGCCGCCGAACAGCAAAGGACACAAACAAATACGCCCGTCACCACTACACCGTCTAATGCACGTACTGACGGTGTTCAGCCAGGTTTTCTGCATGGCACCGTTGCCCAAAGCGAGTGCTGGAAGGTTGAATCTTCTACGCGGCTTTCATTATTTGTACGGGCTCCTCATCCTTGCGCATATTTACATATTAAGTTGGAAGCAAATGACACTGACGGACACCTTCATTTTAACAATAAATAAAATTATTTATTTTGGCGATATTATTGTGAATAATTTGGTGAGCACTCTGGCGGTTTGCAGCACATTTTATTATGCCGGACTTTATCGTGAAGTTCCGCAAAAATGTCTACAAATTCTGCAAGCCCTAAAGCGTCTTCAGGGTGTGCAACGATCCAACAAGTGGAATTCTTTGTCGGTGCTCTACAAGGAGTTGTGCTGCTATTGTTGCTGTATAACACTTGTAACGGTAATCATCTTGGCCTTCACCTATTTCAGCTTGACATCGGAGTATTATATTTTTCTCCTGCAGTTGGGCTCATATCATTTGCCAAACATTTTATTAAACCTTAAATTGGGTCAGTATTGGTTTACATTACGTTTTGCTTATCACATTTACAAGCGTTTAAATGAGACGCTCAGAGAACGTTTGAAATGTTTCGATTTAAGTGGCTCTACGCCTTCCGAAAATGAAGAACTACCGATGTTTGTGTCGTTAAACTCTCAACCGATAAATGATGGGGAGCCTGCTTCGTCGTATACTCGTGCGTACTTAAGCACACACTCGTGCGGGCATAGCGATGCTGAGTTTTTGGAACACATACGACGACTGCACACCCGAGTGGATGCCCTTATGGCGGAGTTGGCCGAGGTCTACGGCTCAATTGTCTTGCTCAACTATTTGGGCTCAATATTTGCTGTTGCCATAAATATTTTTGAACTCTATCAAGGCTTCTACAGGCCCGTGCTGGTTTTGAATATAGTCTTGTGGCAAATACAATATATGATACGCATACTTCCCGTGCTGAACGCAAGCAACGCAGTGGTGGAGGAGGTTAGTAAACTAAATGGAATTAAAAAGCGGGAGTAAAAATTAATTTCGAATAAATATATTATTTAAGGTTCAAAATTCGTATTTCTCTTGTAGATATGTCGCACAACGCGTATCCTCAATGCGCTTTATATCACAACGAAAAAAATGCAACTCGCGGTTAATCGCTTTCTGCTACAACTTCAAGTGCGCAAGCCGGCTGAGAGCGCTGGTGGTGTGGTTAACCTCGACTTAATGCTGATTACAGGTGTGAGTATATCAGTTAGTTCTTATAGCAGCCTTAGTAGCGGGTGGTTAGCAGTGCGTTGGTTGATTCGGGCCATACTAGTAATCAAAATTTTAAAAGTTTATTTTTCAGTTTCAGTTTGAGTTTCAGTGGCAGATAAAATCAGGCCACTGAGAGGTGGCTGGGGAAGAATTGTAAATATTTTACAAAAACGTCTAGAAGAAAACATCTTGAAGAACATGCCGAAACGCTTTAACGACTACGGAGAGCATATGATATACATGCGATTTCTTCGAGTATTGCCTTCGTCAGGGCGTATGAGTAATCCCGCCTTAATCCCAATTAACTGCACTAATCCGGAATAAATCAGGCGTTACTACAGCTGCTGCGTTCCATTGTGAATTAAATTTAACCAAAACCGACAACTGTTTCTCGATTTCAAGTGTAAAAATTAGTGCATTTCAAGAAGCAAGAATCATTGTGCCTTCCAGTTGATTCAGCAGTTTTATGGGTATATATGTATATTTTGAATATTTTATCAACAGCACTTTTCCCTTTTAACTAGTAATAAGTGGTTTTGTATCAACTGATCAATGTTGTCTGTCATCTAGTATATTTGATCTATCAAACTAAAGCTCTAACTTAGAGATTAAGTACGCAGTTAATCCGCATTAAGGCTGTCATCTGTCTAAGTTATTTCGCTACTTTTATAAAAAGTTTTGAATTTTTATTTTTTTTTTAAATCATAAGAGTTTTCTTTTTTGGATTTGCAGTTTGTTAGCGCCATCGGCCAATGCGTCACGTTTCTTGTGCAAATTGATCTCAGCAAAGTGCATTATAAATATTGAAATACGTAAGCGTGGGTAAACTAGATAAAAATTAATTTTTGTTTTAAGTTATAAGTTTATTTTATAATTTTTAAACAGACTGGAGAATTTCTGAATTTTTCCTCAAGCTTGGTTAATTTATTGCATATTTTTATGAGTATAAAATTTACTTTAGATCACAATAGTATTTTATGCGTTTAATTATACAATACATTGTGAATGCTTAACTATAGAAGACCAAATTTTGATTGAAATCGGGAAGATTATTGCCTTTACTTTTTCATAAAATTGTTGTGTTCGGGTTGCAGATTTCTTCTAAAAGGGTTAATGGTTGAAAATGCCTTCAACAAAAATATTCTAAACATTTTTCTCCTGTCAAAAATTAACGGGAAAGATTAATGATTTGCCTTGCCCTGGCTGACCATCAATTTTTTTAATCGAAGTTAACATCGCTAAAATAAAGGAAATTGTGACGGAAAGATGGCTGGAGCGCTTTCTGTTTGAATAAATCGCATTCACACTTAATTTGTTTCCACGCCAAATTTAGGAAATGTATCGGAACTGCTTGTGGAACGTGAGCTTACGAGCTTTACATGTAAGCCAGGTACTTAGCTTCGGCGTCTTCCAATTGATGAAAACCGGAAAAACTGGATGATCATTACTGGCGTAGGCACCGCTTCTTTTCGCTGTTTGGGGCCAATTGAAAGTATAAAATACATCTAGGTCCTTCTCCACCTGGGCTGACTCAATGGATTCGGATTATGTACATGACCTAATCAGTATAGCAGCAATCTCTTGATTTCATGAACTTTTGCCACCATAAAGCTTACATAAAACCTTCCCATGAAAAATTTCTAACGCCCATTCATCTGTTGTTGTCGTCGTACATGTCGCCACATCATATAGTGTGATGGGAATAATGAGGACCACAAAGAGTTTGGTTTTTGCATGATATAATAATTTAAAGTTATTATTTCATTCTCTCTTCGCAGTCGGCTTCATAGTTCTCTGGCATAAAATGTGTTTCGGCTTTTTCGTGCTACCCTGTTCTCCTAAAAAAAATACAACATTTTTAAGGAAAAATATGTGTAGAACTTACAAATTTTTAAAACCTCTCCAACCCCTGATAGTGGACTTCATCGAGTGTATGCCCCTCATGATTGTTGTATTACAACTTTAGTAAAATTGTAAGAAAGGGAAGAGATTCGTCCACCAAAATTTAAATCGAATTCAAGAAGGCCAGTTCTAGAGATGCTTCAAAGAAATATTGTTTTAAAAAATAGCTGCTCATAATTACGCTAAAAGTCGATTAAACTTTTGAACCGCTAAATATAACGATAACTATATAATATCGATAGTTAAACAGCTTGTTCGATCGCGGAACCCTGGTCTTTCACCTATATTGGTTCTGTGCAGAAGATGCTCAAACCAGTTGAGGTATTTTACGAAGTTCAGGAGATTAATGATGCCTAGAGATGCCTGCTATGCTAAGTAATTGACGAAGAAATTTCCGAGAAATCAATAACGGATCGCTGAGTTGACCGGGATTATGACTGTCCCCATCTGGTCAGCTCATCGACCCTACAGTTCTCAGCGCGTCCCTATGGCCAGAGACCTAAACCGCGCTCGTTTCGCATTTAGTTGATAAAACCTATAAGCTTAAGTTTCGAGAAAAAGCAGAACAACTCAACTCTTTCTATTTGCTTTTTCAGGTCATTTTTCTATTGACTTGTTTTTGGGTTTTTTATGGAACTGTTTCTGACCATCTATATTTTTTGAAAATAGCGAAAAAATTACAACAATAGTTTTGGACGGTAGAAGTTATTAGCTGCTTTTTCGGAAATCACCACGTTTCCTCAACAGTCTTCTTTTTCCAGTTGCCTTTGCTCGAACAGGATTTCTATTTTACTTATCTACCTATCAAATCCTTTTCTTACTTCTGCCGCCTAAGAGAAACTGCTAGAAAGAAATATTTTAGTTAATTCATACGCATCTGCTTAGAAGACAACCCGAAAAATAATTAAAAAATCTCCAAGTTAAATATTTTTTAAGTGCCAAGATCAAACATTTCTGAGCAAACACGTTGAGTGTCAAAACTTTCGGAGTGAAGCTACCTTAAAGAACTTGTGTTTCATGGTAATACATATATTTATATTAACCAGACGTCTTCTCTCTCCGTTAACGTTGAAATGAGCGAGTAGAGAGTAGGAAATGCCTCTTCAATACTAAGAATATTAATATTTCTGTAGCGGTAGCCGTGTGGTTAGCATTGCGTACTGATATTCGGACGGTTCGGGCTCAAATCCTGGTGCCACCAACATCCAAAAAGTTATTGAAAATTAATTTAAATAAAATTAAATTCTCTAATTACGGTCGCCGCTCGGCAGGGAATGTCCACGCCTCCGAGTGTATTTCGGACATGAAATAAAGGCTCCTCATAAAAAAACCATCAGCCGTTCGGAGGCGGCTTAGTATAAACTGTAGGTCCCTGCCTTTGTTGGAAAAACAACAAGACGCAAACCCACAAATCGGAGGAGCAGCTCGGCCAAAAAAATCGTTTCAGCGGTTACATAGCACCAATTATATACTATATACATATCTAAACACAGTTCTCCCGCTCGATACAAACCAACCAAATAATCTTCTTTAAAAAAAAAAAATATTTTGATTAATTTTGTTTTGCTGCTCAGTTATCAATCAAAATGAATCTAATGTGCATAAGAATTCATGCCCTTAATTAATAGTTAAAGTGGAATGTCAATATATTTCACTGACTGACCCTGCTTTGCTTAAAATAATTACTGTTAAATTATATTAAATTACTATGTTCTTATCGCTAATTAATTATCAGGCAATGGGAAGGAAATTCGATGAAACTCCATTGGATCACTTCCAATTTTGTTTATTATTAAATCTGTGTGTTGCAGCCATGAAAGATGGTTTAGTTTTAAGAGACATTTGTGTGGATTTTCAAACAAAAAACAAACAAAATAATATTAAAAATTAAACCGTGGTAAGTGATGATATAATTAGCTTAAAAAAAGAATTGTGTTAAAATCTTTCCGAAAACATAAACCGTTAAAATGGAAGAGTTCATTCACTGCTCGAAAATAAACTGTCTTCAAAAGAATCGCTAAGGAGATCGAAAACATTTTTCAACGAAAAGGTTATATTCTAAGCAGAAGCATAGGCATGACAGCATGAGATCGCTCTTTACCGAAGAATTGTTACTGTTGTACAAAGCCTTAACAAAAGCCCTTTTCGCAGTTCACGACGATTCTCTCTGCCCGACGTGTTGTTCTCAATGATATAATACTTTTTCCGGAGTGTGTCTTTTCGTCAGCTGCTACTTGATTTATACTCAGCTTAGTTTGTTCTTTTATATTGAAAAATCTTTGCAAGTCTTGTAAATTCATTCCCAAAATAACGGTTCGGTTCCGACGAGGCACATCACGCTGCTTCCAATATACGGTATATATAATAGCTCAGCAGAGTCGATAATTTGAACAACCATTTATCGGTTTCGCCACACATTTAACCCACGTTTCCTGAGAGACGCCGTGCAGTGCGCGCCAACAACGCTATTGCTGCAGTGGATATCGATGAAGAGCCAAGTAAGTCAATCTGCAGCGCGTAATAATTGGAGCTATGCCCATCTACTTTATGGAAGATTTTGCGGAAGAACCTAAGTTTGTGGACTTACAAAATCCAGCTGGTGCAATATTTGAAGCCGAACGACCATCGCACGCGTCTTACGTTCATTGTATGGGCCGTCGATGACAACTTTCACAAGAAAATTTCGTTCAGAGATGAAGCCTAATTTTGGTTGAATGAGACGCCGTTACATTATCAGAAAGTTAATGGTTGTTAAGCTAAGTAACGCTATAGAGCCCAGACTAATGTCTTCTTTGTACCTGAATTCCAGAATGTTGATGTGGACGATCTTCGGTGCCAACGAGACCGCGTTACATGCCATACAACAAACGAAAGAATCAATTTATTGAAGGAAACTTTTGTTAGACCTGTGGCATGGTCTTAAAGAACGTGTGTTTCAACTCCGCTGGACTATCTTTTGGGGGTTATGGGAAATTGTTTATTTATGGAGTTAAACCCGAGTTGAATGTCATCTTGGGAGAGGTACCTCTCTGATATAGCTCATTCCGTTTAGCTTGGTAATCATTTTGGTGACTGGAGTGTTTAAAGTTTAAAACACCACGAACTGTTGTAGGAAATCTCAGAATGTAGGGAGAAAATTGTTTAGTATGAGCTCGGCCGAAAATCATTTCAGCGCTTACAAAGCGCCAATTATATATATCGTGGCAAAGTAGTTCCAGTTGAATATGTAGATGGGTGAGACTTTTACAAGTAATCAAGAAGACGCTGCCGAGGGTTGAACGTAATTAAAACTTTAGTTTTTTATAATTTTGGACGTTCGTCGGACTAGCCATGGCCTTTCCAATGATTATACGCAGTGGTAAACATTTGGCTCTTGCGGCCGCGGTCTCTCCATTTAAAGGACCATGCACAATTTATTTTTCTATACTTCCTTTTCACACACTTTCAATTTCTTTGTTTTCCCCTCTTCAGTTGCAAGCATGAGCTTTAAAAGAATGCGCTACAATCAAAACAAAAACATCAATACCCACTCGGAACCCTTTCTCGCGCTCATCTCTAAGCTTTACCTACTCTGCCAACTCTTCGCTACGGCACCGATTTTAGACACACCCAAAAATAATCGACGCATCTTACGTTATGTGCGTTACGTTTGGTGTTCTACGTTGGTGACGTACATCACTGTGGTGAACATCAGTTACATGAGTCGCATACACGACCCGCTTGTCAACATCGTCAAAGCATTCTTCGCATTTGAACTCATTAATAATCCCCTAATCGTCGCCTTCATAGTCTTTACCACATATTATTACACAGCAGAGTACCGGAGCATACCGTCGGAGCTCTTGCGTATTTATAAAGTCTACCAGAGGCTTCAAGCGAATATAAGTGCTGAGAAGGAGTTCTTTCGAGTGCTACACATGGAAGTGTTGGTGATGGCTGGCGTTATCTGCTCAATAATATTGAGCACCTTTGTGGTGGATTACTTTCGCTCGGAACGCACTTTGATGCGTGCAATACTCCACGCTAGCGTATTTAGTGTGGCAAACATACTTATATCGCTACACATCTGTCAATTTTGGTTATCGTTACGTTTTATTAGCCATCTCTATCGCGGTTTCAATGAAGTTTTACGTCAACGCTTGCGGCGCTTTCGTGTCATCGATTTGACTGCATTGGACGAGTGCAATAATGATTTGCACGCTTACGGCAGGGAAATCTCCTGGTATCAACGGGAATTCCAAAATACTTGCAACGCAATGGCTACGGATAGTTTTGAAATCTTAGACATGATGCGTGACATATACTTTGATTTGGACACGATATCGACGCAATTGACGAACGTATTCGGCATAACCTTACTTTTCAACTTTCTCGGCTCTTGCGTTAGCCTCTCTGTGCAGTTTTTTGCTGTGTTCAAATTTTTCGATACAGAAAATTTCTTGAACGATGTTCAAGCCGAATTATATAATCGTATCTTGTGGATCATTATTCACTTAGGGCGAATTATGACGGTACTAATTAGTAACAATGCAATCATTGAGGAGGTGAGTTTCCATCAAAAACCCTTTATTTGTGTACTAAAAAAATTGTTTGTTGTTTTAGAAATGCCGCACATCATGCGTGTTAAATGAATTACAAGTATCTTCGAAGGAAATGGAACGTTCGATTAATCGATTTTTGCTTCGATTAATGACTCATCAACCACCGGAAATGCTATGTGGAATATTGCAACTTGATTTACTGGTACTTTGCGGTGTAAGTATGCCTTCCAATGTTGAATATGGTACTGTACAAACTTGTGTCTTCTCGAAAAGAACACCTTTTTCAGCACTGAATTGCATTTTTGTTTCGAAAGCCTTGCGATTAAAATTGAAGATTTTCTGGAACGCGCTTCGAAAAATTATAAAACTGCTCTGAGGATTTACTTCTTCGAGTGCTTCTAGGCATAGCTCAGGAATCTTTAGAAAACTCCCGCAAAGTTATTAAGTGTCAGCTTACTAATTCTAAACTGTCGTAGAATCATTTTGGAACTTTTGAACTGTTGTGGAGCTTGTTTAGAAATTAGATATTTCAAGACGCGAGTAGTTCTGGGTGGTGCTTGCAGGGTTTTTGTTCGAGTAACCAGCGGTCTTAAAGCGCTCACGATGGCCACGAAACTGGAGTTAAGATTTTCAGTGGTAGTTTAATATCTTCGACTTACTGGCGGTGGCATGTGGCTTCTTTTTTAAATAAGACACAAACTCGAAATAAGAGCGGCTTCGTTTCAACTGTTTCTCAAGGTGTGACGTTTATGTTTGGAGTACGAGTTTCTTTTTGCTAAAGTTTGTATATATAGTGAAGCTGCTGCCACAAGAGAGTGCTTCTGCGATTTCATACGCCAATGACTTCTTGATCTTGGCGATTTTTTAGAGCACTAATGACGTATGTACGAAATATTCACCATGCATCGAGTCTTGGATAAGAACCATGAATAAAGGTTTGACCTCACGTGAGGTGACGTCCTCGCCGCAGCTTCCGACAGCATGAAGAGGAGTTGGTCTTACGATAATTTGTCTTAACTCACGTTAAGTAACAGCAAAAGCTTCGTCAGAAAGTGTTCGATATCAAGCGAGGTTTCAGATAAGGCGGCTCATTACAGACCTCTTCAATTTATTGCTCGAGAAAATAATACGAGTTGTAGAGCTGAGTAGAAAAGTTACAAACTTTTATAAATTTGTATAGCTGATGATGCAGATAACTGTGCATTGTGTAGGCAAATGGAATGTAAAGTCCTCTCTCGACGAACAACAACTAAACTCTACAAGGCTTTTAACGTGCCCGACTGCCATTGAGTCGGCCGTGGTATTCTTCGAGAGAAAAGTTTTGCGAACGGTTTGTGCGTTGGCAGCGAGGCGAATACTGCAGAAGATGGAACAATGAGCTCTACGAGCTATGCGGCGCCTTTGATATAGTTCAGGGAATCAAGAGACAGCAACTAAGTCCGAGTGAATTAGAATACTCCATGCTTTGAATGATTTTGATACAATATCCGACGGTGGAAGTAGAAGAAAATGAAGGCCCCCACTCCGTTGGAAATATCAGGTGGAGAGCGATCTTGCTTTACTTAGAGTCTCCAACCGGCGCCAAACAGCGAAGAGAAGGAACAAATGGCCCGCTATTGTTGATCGCGTAAGCCTACGGCAATGAAGAAAAAGAAGAGGAAGAATAAGAAAATGAGTAAGAAGAAGAAGACGTTTAAGAAAAGGAAAAAGAGAAGAAGAAAAAAAGAAGAGGAGAAGAAGAAAGAAGGATAAGCAAAAGAGAAGAAGAAAAAGAAGAAGAAGAAAGAAGGATAAGAAAAAGAGAAGAAGAAAAAGAAGAATAAGAAAGAAGGATAAGAAAAAGAAGAATAAAAAAGGATAAGAAAAAGAAGAAGAAGTAGAGAGAAAAATAAGAAAAAGAAGAAGAAGAAAAAATTGGAAAGATAGGTTCTGAACGTCACCAATTGTATCTGAAGAATACTTCTTTAAGACCCCCGTTATTCTATATGTAGAGGGGGAATCAAAAGCTTGTTCCAGTATTTCAAATAGCTCAACACTCTGATTGAAAGAGGATTCACTCCAGGTGTGGATCCTTTTTATGAGTTATACAGTAAGGTTAAAACAACAAAAATTTTACTTAACATCCCTTCCATCCCAACAGATTACCGGCGCCGTGTCTAATTACTTTATATTTCTTGCACAAATCGACTTGGGCACATTACCCATCCAACAAAAGACTACAAATTCTACGGCATAACAAAAATTAAAAAAAATATTTTATATTAAAAAATAGTCAAAAAGCCAACACACGCTTCCCAGCCTATGCCGTCTACTGTATGTGGCACAAATTACAAATATATAAGTATTAAGAATACAAAGGAGGTATTCCTTTCACCAAGCTATCTAAATGCAATCTAACTGTAAAAATATTAAACAAAAGGATTTTAGTTACACAACAGAGTAAAACCCTCACGCTAAAAGAAAGAACAATGCGGGCTCCCATCAATCACGCTTACTTCAGCCTTCAACGAACACGACTAATTATTGGTAGGTTATTTGCTCGTTGGCTCATTGCTCGTCACACCATGCTACGCTGTAGGTCGACACTTGGAGCGCTCTCTGGTCTCTTCAAACTACCCTTCGTAAAGCTCTGGCATGCACTGCATAAGTGCTATGGTGTTTCGTGTATGTCGTTCGCTTGGTTCGCACAGAAGATGCACGCTTTTGGCACCGATCTTGGTCAAGAAACTGGTATTTTGGCTATAAGTCTAATGGCAAATCGTCGGCTACATGCACTGGAACGGTAAGCATACGTTGTGACTATCTAAGCCTATCTCAATCAACTTCTGCTACATCATACTTTTTAGCTTTCTGTGGTTAATACTAGTTTTTGTATCCATATTTTGTGCTATTTCATTGAGTCGCGTGCAAATGAAACGCTACTTCACTTCACCAACTGTCATCTCGGTAGACCGCGACTATCGCGGTTGGCATGGCGCACTGCCCGCGGTGACCCTCTGCTATTACGATCACATCGACTCGTTCAAGGCGAATGAGTTTATACAGAACAATTGGAATGTTTCGATTGTGGACAAAGATTACTTCTACTTTATGGATTTTCTTTACGCTGTCGTTAATGCCACGGCGAGTAATTATGCCGATTTGGCGCGTTTCGCTGAGGACGAACGTTTTGACGAGGTAAATCTGTCGGAGATGGTGCGTGCCATCGATAGACCTTTCGAGCAGGTCTTGACCAGTTTCGACAAGCAGAATGCGTCAATACAAATAAGACCCGTTATGACGGAGCGTGGTTATTGCTATGCAATTAATTCGCCCATGTCTGAGATATTAGCTGGCAGGTGAGTTGCACTATGGGTTAAGGTAAAGAAGGTCTTGAGTTGACTTCATATGGAATATGAGATCCTTTTGTAGAAACATTGAATATAAAGATGTCATACAACCGTTAACCTGTGAATACGGAAGTCAGCAGTGTTTCATCAAAATGGATCTGTACGAAAGCACGGGCACGGTAAATACACGTATCTCTCCTTTCCATCTTTATAACTCTTGATTTCTCTTATTACGCTCTAAAAACCTCCAGGTCGATGTGCATTCACCATTTGAGGTCTCAGCCAGTGATGCGAATATTATTGCGCTACATAAATCGGATGAAATAATCGCTTCTTTCAAAGTTCTCGAAACGGTGTAAGTAACACAAAAGTTCAGTGCGAAATTTTCGTAAACACAAAGTTCCCTTTCTAGTGCCTCTAAGAACTTACGTGACCTGCAAGTGGATCAGAGGAAATGTGTGTTCTACGATGAAGAAACCTCACAATTAAAGGCACAGAATATTTATTGTTGTTGTATTTTCATTTCCGATTTCAAAACATTTTTTTTCAGGTTTATAGCAAAACCTTATGCCTCGTGAGATGTCGCGCTGTTATGGCTTTGGAGATGTGCAATTGCGTGCCATTTTTCTATGCTTTTGTCGGTGGGTATTTCGATGTAATGATAAATCCACTTTTTGTTTTTGTAAGTTTTATTACTTACTTACTTACGTTAAGTTCTTTTCTATACTCTATTCTTTCGTTCTTGCACAAGGGGTTATGTTACTCTTACGTTATTTTGACGTAAGTTTAGGTTAGATGAGATTACACTTCCCGGCTGATGTGCCTAACATAGACCCGTTGGTCCTTTGTAGCGTCAGATGATGGGGATAAACAGAAACAGAAGAGCTGTTCAATTTTCTCACTCTTCCCTTCCTCCTTGCACTGTCACTGCTACTAATGCCCAAGCTGCTTGCCTGGGATTCCAATAGGATGTACCCCGCCATTACGCCAACAACTGTCCTGCAGTCCTTTCACGAACGTGTAAACCTAGATCTCTCGGAAACTTAATTATAGACAATTTTTAGCGACTATTGTTTATTCTGAGCTCGTTCGTTAGACAGACGGATAGCACTTTTGGCCATCACATTAGCCATTTCGAAGCCCATAACGCCCTTGCGGCCTGGAAGGAAGGAAAAAATGTATGTGCAGCCTTTTGCTCTCAGTCACCCTGTTTACTGTTTCTCTGCTTCTAAAAGCATTTTCTTCCGCAATACGATGTGACATTATTGCCTTAATTGCCGTCACACTCTCGGAATACATGTATGTTGCTTTTCCTACCGCGAATGCTTCCGCCTGGAAAATATTGTATTACTTTAGAGTGTGGATATTTAATCCATCCGCACTAGCGGGTTCCATGTGCTTGTGCCATCAGCCTTCCATAAACGTAATTTTAAAGTCTCTATCGCAAATCAAAGCGTGATGGTGTGTGGCCTACTTTGTCCTCCATCCACTAACATATCGAGCTGCGCCCGAAGGTTCTAACGGAGAACTCACCTAAGGCCAACTAACTCAAATTTTGTACTAAAAGCTATTTTGGTTTTATCAGGAAGCATTTTGAGACTAGTTTCTTTAACTTTAAATTGAGGTTATGTTTATTTTTCTTCAATCTGAGGTTATGTTTATTTGTTTTGAGCTTATGCATTACTTTTATATGTGGGTTTCTGCAAGGTCAAACTGTTTCGAGATAATCTTTTATTTTAATTTATTTTGAAGATATCTTACAATTTGAGGTTATCTTTCTTCAACTATATGAAACTTTTCTTCCAGAGGGTCCTAGTTGCAATCCTGCAGGCTTTGAGTGCCTACTGGATTTCAAGTGGCCCATTTGGGCGTTGCATATCTGTAAATGTCCAAGTACTTGTACAGAAATAGAATACACGGTGCAGACGGTGAAGAAGAGTTATTGGTAAGCGAAAAGAACTGAACTTCAAAACTTCAAAAATTAAACGCACAATTTGAAATCTTTTATTTCGAACATCTACTCCAACAAATAGGGGCGCCAAAGCTAATGATGATATTGCGTCCACCGATTTGGTCACTTCCAGCTTTCGTTGGGATGTTATACCGCCAAAAGTGCGCATGCGCCGTGATGTTGTCTTTAGTTTCGAAGATCTCCTGGGTAAGCATGTGGTATTAAATATATTTTTTCTCTACACGTAAATTTCCACATCCAGTCTCTTTCGGCGGCACCTTGGCGCTCTTTCTCGGCTTTAGTCAAATATCTATTGTGCGTATTGCTTACGTCACCGCCTATCATCTGATAATGACTTCCGTAGAATTGATCTGTAGATGGAAAAAATCTTGTGGTTGCCGTTGGCGTATTTTCAAACACACGCAGGCTACAAAAAAGACTCTATTGGTGCAAACAGCGCCAGAAGAGAGGCCGAAAATTCATTTTGGCTCACATAAAAGGCGGCAGCAGTTCATAGCTACACATGCGAGGGTCATTAGGGGTACTCGCCTGGTAGGTGCTAATGATGACTGTAGAGATTCGGAATAGATGGTGTCTGAGGTGATATGCTTGGGGATCAGAAAGTAATTAAGAAAAGTTTCTTGAAAGCGTGAGACCTCTTTTTAAACTCTGTCGTGAAACTTCATCAGCTGTTTGAATCTAACTGAGTTAAGGTTATTATTAATATTTATTGTTAAGCTTGTTCATTACATGTGCACAAACGACTAATCACCTATTGGATTTCAAAAACCACAAATATGTAAATGCAGAAACTAAATGCTTGTTTAATACATAATATGTTATATAAGTATATATGTATATACCTAAAAATGTGAATTTGAACATAATTAATTTATTTTATAAAAGTATATGTACGACGTCACTAGTGCAGTTCTTTTTCACCGGCTGGAAACGGCTTTGTTTATGTTTCTTAACGAAGAAAGGAAGGTTTGTATTTTTAAAGATAAAAAAGGGTGTTTTTCTTAGACGTGTGGTCTTCAATGAGGTACCAGTTTTTGGGAGTTGGACATTTGACAACTATTACTTGATTTATACACTGTATGGTTTGCCATTTTATAATGTACCGACCTACTCCGGTATACCGTTTTGCAAATCGCGTAAATTTACTACCAAAAAAATGGTTCAGTTCGCGGGACTCATCGCGCGGTACGTCCAAAATTCGGTCGAAATAATCGTGCAGTAGAGTCCGTAATTCGAGCCACCATAGAATGGTTTCACAGCACGTGTACTCTAGTGGATAATGCGAGTTCTCAGAGATGCCGAAGACGTGATTGCTGCTGTAGAGCAGAGTATTAAAAAAGACCTGAACGCGCCCATCTGGCATTGCGGTCAACAATTGTAGCTGTGCCCATCCACTTTATGAAGCGTTTTGCGGGCTTACAAAACCCAACTCGTGCAAGGCTTGAAGTCGAGAGACCATCGAGGGGGTCGCCCATTCGCTGAATGGGTACCAAATGAGATGCACTCCGATCCCGAGCTTTACAAGAAAATTTTGTATAGCGCTAAAACTCATTTTTTGTTCAATGGGTACGTTTCAAAAGAAATTGCGGCAATTGGAGTGAAATAATCAACAAGCTGTTGTTGAGATCGTTACATCCTCAAACAGTCACTGTTTGGTGCGCTCTGCGGATAGAAGACATAAGTAATGACTTTTTCGTGCCTGAGATAGAAAATGTTGATGCGAAATACCCCTTGTTCTTGCAACACGGCGCTACATGCCATACATACAGCAAGGATAAAATCAATTTATTGAAGAAAATTTTTGGTTACCGCATTACCTGGCACCCTAGACCTGTAATAAGAGCTTCAAGGATGCGTTAAGCCCTAGACGATTGTCGCTATCGAAGAGAATATTCAAAGCTTCGATTGTTGGTCAAAAACTAGTCTTCTCTGGTATTCCAGCCAGCTGGGGCAATCACTTGTTTGAAATCATTTTTAAAACATAATGACAAATCTTTATCTTTATAATAAAGCCAAATTTTTGTCCATACAAATTAAATGACACGAGTTTTATTTCTGCTTGAACTTATAAGAAAAAGCTTTAGTAGATTAGTAGAATCAGTAAGATCTTACGAGAGTGCATTAAAGCGTTGCAACAACGCAAATTGGGACCGAGGCTTAAGCTCTTTCAGGCAACACTTCTACTTACCCACCTAACTACAAAATAAGTTTTGAAGGTACGAGAACCACTCTAAAGGCTTTAACGATCACATGTGTATGTTTCTTTAAATGAGGCACCCACCTACTGAGTGTTGTGATATGTCTCGCCTTATGTTATGACTAGATCATGCTTGATCCAATATATTCTAAAGGGGGTATTTACATTTATCAATTGAAAATACCGAATGTTGCTAGGTTCTTCTCCACCTAATCTTTCGAAATGGAGGTCTTCCTCTTCGACTCCTTCAACCGCCGGGTAATGCATGGAACATTTTCAAAGCTGGAGTGGTCTCATCCACACGGACGACATTACCTAGCCCGCTCAATTTTGAGTCTCGTGCTGTGCTTATCTTCACTTATCTCCGGAGTAAGTGCGTCGATCACATTACATCGAAGAAACAATAATATCTTACACACAGAACATACCTGCTATTCTGTTTATCTGCGACTTATCATTGAACAAACGCTAGCACCAAAAACAAAAACACCGTTATCAGATAAGGTATGAACTCTATCTAGTATTTACTTTTGCGACACATTTTTCATGCTGTCAAACTCAGAGAGATTTAATAAGATCTCTTTTGTTCTAAGATGCTTTAAGTTTTTAAAATTGAAATATTTGTGTTTACGTGTCACTGACCGCCAAGAGTTCTATAGATGCAAATTACGGAGTGCAACGAAAATAAACGAGAAACAGACTTTTGTGATCAAAGAGTTAGAGTTTTTGACCGATAAGCCAAAGGTCTCTCGAACATTATTTCGTTAAAAATAGGTGACAAGCAATTAAGCAGAAGATATTAACGAACAATAACGGCAAATCTGTGCAAATATTAGGTCTAGTAAAAAGTAATCCACTATTTTTTGCAAAAAACAGTTCCTTTATGTGATCTGTATCTTGCACAAGTCAGGCAGGCGAAAGTATGAATTTTGTTTGTCCTGATACTGTAAGAATCAGTCGTTCCGGTAATGTTGTTGTAAAAGCTGATCCACGACGTGGAAGACCTACTGTCGCATAAAATAATGGAAATTGTCCAATTTGGCCATGCCAGCACTGTTTCGATTCTCCAGGAGCTAAGCATTCTACAAAAAAATTGGGAATTGCTTGAAAAACGCTGAATACATAAAAGAAGCTGGACGTATGGGTGCCACATGAGTTAACGAGAAAAACCCCATTGCACCGAATTTACATCTGCGAATCGCTGCTGAACCGTCACAAAATCGACTCATTCCTGTAGCGGAGGGTGACCAGTGATAAAAAGTGGAACACTTGCAGAACCATCAAAAAAAAAAAAAAAAAAAAACCGGCGTAAGTGAAGGACTGTGAGCCGGCTTAAATGGGTTTGACGGCGAAAAATGTTTTGTTGTGCGTTTGTTGGGATTGGCAAGGAATCATTTACCATGTGCTGCTTCCTTACGGCCAAACTCTTAATTCGGACCGTTACCGTCAATTGGATAGTTTGAGGAAGCAATTGCCCAGAGGTGCTCAACTTTCGCACACAGGAGGATGATTGCGTCATCATCATCATCATGATCACTGATCATATAGACAACACCAGATCACACACATCGATTGTGGTTCGCCAGAAGCTACGACAGCTGCGTATACACATTATAATTCGGACCTCGCACGAGGCCTATGAAAAACTTGTTGTTTTCCCGATTTTTTGCCAATAGAGAATGATTTCTATGAGAAGGGCATAATGACATAAATCGGATAATTCTAACCATGGCAAATAAAGCCTTCAATTTAATGCAAAAATGGATGATTTTTTACTTGACCGCGGTGGTTTTAGCATTGTGTACTGCCATTCGGAAGTCCAGGGTTCATATTATGGTACGACCAACATCCAAAAACTATAGAGACAATTTATTTAAATTAAAAATTAAGTAAAAAGTTCTATTTGCTCTCGTCCCTCGGCAGGGCATCTCAACCCCTCCGAGTGTATTTCTGAATGAATGAAATAAAGGCTCCTCATAAAAAACCATCAACCGTACGGAGACAGCTTAGTATAAACTGTAGGTCCCTCCATTTGTTGTGAACTCATCAAGACACAAAATCACAAATAGGCGGAGGAGCTCTTCCGAAAATCGCTACAGCGGTTACATAGTGACAATTATATATATGTAAGTATATATTCTTTTCAAATTCCTAATTATCCATTGTAACTTAAAGTGCATAAAAAAGCATCTAATTTTTACTCCCTTATGCAAGTGATACCGCTGAGTTACCAACTTTATGGTTTGAACATGAATTAACATAAAATTCTAAATACTAACTCCGTTGGCGTTTAATTTATAACCCACATTCATATGTATGTATGTACAAATACTTGTTAGTATGTAAATCATCATGCTCTTTTGGCAGACTAATTTCAACTAGAAGTCAGTTGTTGGCTGACATTCGCGGTAAGAAGTCGCAGTGAGTTTGCAGCTCGCACGAGATAAAACTAAAATAAAAGTTTTATTTTTAACAAAATCTAATATATATACACACATAAATACAATAATAGATAATTTCAAATTCCTGAAGGAATGCTAATATTTATTTCATCACACACACGCACAACACATAAATAACAGTAGGAAAATCCCTTGAAAGCCTTCAAGTTGATCTAAAATTGTGATGCTGCTGGCGTGAGGGCGGCGTTCATTGCCACAATTTTCGGTTAATTTCCGACTCTGTTGAGCGTATAAGCAAAGTGCAACTGATTACAAAGCGTTGAGATCTTAACATTCTGTATCGAACGCGAGATAAGCTACGCAAACAAGCAGTCTTCGTTGCCGGAGTGAAGATTGCGTGAAGTGTAGTGAAAAAAGAAAGATTAAAATAATTCAAAAAAAAAAAAAAAAAAAAAAAAAAAAAAAAAAAAAAAAGTTTAAAAAGTTAAAAACGTTAAAAACGCTGGAAAATACTCTTAATACACTCGCATCATAGAAAGTACCTGAGAAACATTTTTCACATTTCTACATTCATTTTCCATACCCATAAGTGTGATAAAACCTACAACTGAAGCAGAGACTTTAAAATGTACGAAATTCCTACAAGCTTATGTTTGGAGTGGAAGAATCTCAACTATCATGTGCCATCGACGGAGCAGAGCAATTATACATTCTGGCAGGAATGCCGGAAGGTTAAGGAGCTGCGCCTACTCAAAGACGGTGCGTATAAGTTTAACACACAAGCTAATGTAATATGTGTATGTGTATGTATGTGCATTCAATAAAGCCAAAAAAATATATAAATAATGCTTAAATTCAATTAAACAATTGAGGATGAACAAAATACTTATTTATTAGTCTACATTGCTGCCGCCGCGTTCAAAATAGTCTTCATTAGAGATTATGCATTCTACACTTCTCTAACGTGATCTTTGAGATAGCCCTTAGGTTTTTCAGCTATGCGTTTTTCGTAGCAACTACTGCTGAAACTCACACGCAGCCATGTTTGGCGAATGTGAAGGCTGTGGCATTGCAGCAATATTATTTCTGGCCAAAAATTCACGCACAAGCAATGAAGTGTGAGTAGAATCATAAGCTGTTTTTCCACAAATCCGTTTTTTTGTTCGAATCACCGTTTGAGCTAGTGGAAGGAGTTCATGAAACAAAGTGAGTATAACCTTCACGTTAGAACCGATCTTTCGGTTTTGCCAAGCCAGAATGCCTCCTCTGTAGACCTACGTTTCGTCACCTGTTAAATTAATCTACAATATAAGCATTAGCCGCATAATCCTAATATGCTCGCTACGAGTAAAGAAAATAGCTAAAATATCACATCCCGACTTTTGATCACATCACATTAACCAAAGGCAGTTAGCCTGTTCCCTTCTCATTTATAAATATTTTGAATTATCAAATCAAAACCCATCATATCACGTTATATTACACATCCCACATTATATTATATCAGATAACATCAGAAAGATCTTTAGGCCATCCGACAAGATTACTTCAAGGTTTTTTCTCGCATTATATGATATCACTAAGAGAATCACATCTCATCTTATCTTAACGCATTAAATTCCATTACACACCTCAAATCATTCATATCACATCACATAACATCACATCGCATGATTTTTTTAACACTTTTTTTCAATTTTTTTTTATTAAAGATCTTTAGATGTGATAGCACATCGCGTCACATCATATGATTATCGAATCAAATCACACCAAATTATATGATACCATATCGCGCCACATCATACAGCAAATCATATCATCGCATTGCTTTTCGTTGACTATCCAAGTACACTGTACAGAAATTTCACCTTTTCCTTCACCCGCTGCCAGGACCAGAAAATAGTCTTTCAATGCATCATATGATCTGGGTGATCTTCATTTATAGAATTTTCCGCCGCCATGATCACATTAATGCATCGCATCATGTGATATCATATCATATGCAGGTCATATCATATCATGTCACATCACAGTCTAGCCTATTTATTTATTTTATAGAATATTATAGGCACATGTAGAAGAAGAGGAAGATAGACACATGACATGATCGCAGCAAGGTTTTATAATGCATCATGTGATATATATTTCATCACATCACATTGTATTTCGATCACTGTTTAGGTACACTTAATTTATAAAATTATCGCATGATTATTGAGCATGTTGATATCTTGCATGTTATCGAACGATACGGAGACCTTCCGCATCTTAGTACGTACTGCTAACCACTCGGCTTTGGTTCGGTCACACTTAAATATTTATTAATGCGCATTTTACAAAAATAAATTACTTAATAACACATAAATGAAATTTCCATTGCAGTTAGTGGTCACATGAAAACTGGTGATCTCGTTGCCATATTGGGTTGCAGCGGCGCCGGCAAGACCACACTGCTGGCCGCCATATCGCAGCGTTTACGTGGAAATTTAACCGGTGATGTCGTATTGAATGGCGTGACCATGGGACGAGATGATATGACGCGCATATCAAGCTTTTTACCGCAATTCGAAATCAGTGTGAAGACCTTTACCGCTTATGAACATTTATACTTCATGGTGAGTACACGCATTGGGGATGCAAGTGATTGGCGAAAAGCTCACTGTAAGCTAATTGCATCGCAAATACCTGTTGCTATTGTTGTTAATTTACCAAATATTCTCTTCTTCTACTTCCTCTCTCTCTCAGTCGCACTTTAAAATGCATCGTAAAACGACAAAAGCGCAGAAGCGTCAACGTGTCACCGACCTGCTCTTCGCTTGCGGCTTACGAGATGCGACACACACGCGCATACAATCGTTATCGGGTGGTGAACGCAAACGTCTGAGTTTAGCTGAAGAGGTATGTGCCACTATATTTCATCATTAAAGCGTTATAATCTCACAAGGTGTTTACTTACAGCTCATCACCGATCCACCGTTCTTATTCTGTGATGAACCCACCACCGGTTTGGACAGTTATAGTGCTTATACGGTGATTAAAACGTTACGTCATCTATGCACCCAGCACCGGGTGGCCAAACATTCGCTCACTTCGGTTTATGGCGAGGACTCCTTTTCAACACCAGCTAGTAGCAGTGAGGGGAGCACGGGCCACAATTCAATTGAGATGGAGGTGCTGCAATCGAATGAGGATATTTTTGAATCCATCAAGGAGATACCCTCACTGGAGATGTTCAATCGTAGTCCGAATGGGCGACATAAGAAGGCTATCATCTGCTCTATACATCAGCCGAGTTCAGAGCTTTTTGAACTCTTCACACACATCATACTAATGGATGCGGGCCGCATTGTTTTTCAAGGTAGCACCGAGCGTGCATTCCAATTCTTTACGAAGTAAGTGTGTGGAGAGGGGAAGGCTAAGCATTTCAATGTTGAATTGTTTTTATCCATTTTTCAACTAACGCGCTCTTCGTGTCTCAGTTTAGGTTACGTGTTACCGCAAAATTGCAATCCAGCCGACTTTTATTTGAAAATAATCTCTGATGCTCATACTCAGCGCAACGACGGCGAATTGATAAAAGAGAAATATGATAATGAGACGTGGGGTCGATATTCGGGAAGTTGGCTGTTGTCACGCTCCTACAGTGGCGATTATTTGTATAATATTAAAAATTTGTGAGTATAAAGTAAAATAATCAAAAAAATTTTTCGAAATTCCATAGGGACATTACAAGGTCTGGTAAATCTTGCGTGGAGAGAGATAGGGAAAGCGTTGAAAATTTAGGCTTTTGCAGACAGAAAATGAGAGACCGTAATATGTAAGCATAAGTAGCTGTTCGACAAGGGAAACTCTCAAAAATTCAATGAGAAAACGCCAGCGGTTTACAGAATATTTTAAGACCGGAACTAAAGATGCGACCTGGAGAGGAAGGAAATAGCGGGAGCCGTAGGTCGATGGTGGAACTATTCAAATATGATAAAAATATGTTCGGATTATACAATCGATAAAAAAGGGAACCCAAACGATTCGCACCAAATTAACGCAGAAGAAGTCTTCTAAGTTATTACATATGCGGTCTTAAATGCGAACATTCAGTACTCCTCTTGTTGGGCGTCTTGAAATTGAGTAGGGAATTGAAAAGTAAAGTCTCTCGCTATGAACAACGCTTAAGCTCTATAAGTCGCTCACCATTCACGTCATACTTTACCGCACAGAAGCTGGACGGTGACGGAATTCGCAGTTTTCTGGAGATAGGCTTACCGACTTTTGTGTAGACTAGCCGGATACCGTAGACGATGGAAAGATATACAATGATTAAATTAAGAGACAGCAGCTAACCTGCATAAGTTTAGTACAGACTAGAAGAGTAAGATCTCCACTGTGCCGGAAAGATCACGTGGACGAGGATTTGGCTTCAACTTGTGCCTCTACAGTTTCTGTGGGAAAAAACTTCTTCCGATCTGATTAACTCTAAACAACTGCCGTTTTCTCATGAGAATATTTGGAAACTAATCCGGACTTGAGTTTATTCCTGATCTTCCACCCTAAAAATTTCTCACTTGTGATCTTTCATTGGTACACATTCAAATTTTTTTATTTCAACTTTCAGTAAAAAGATTCGTTGGGTCTATCAAGTGTACCTGTTGCTAATTCGTTTCATGACAGAGGACAGCCGGAATATTAAACGAGGCATTATCTCACTGGGACTTTTTATGGTAAGCAAAAAAAAAAACTTATTATAGGCGAAAGAGCAAATTTCTAAACCTACCTTGCCTCGCATTCCAGATCACCTCATTGACTTTGGCCATTATGTACTCGGGCGTGAGCGGTTTGACGCAAACTTCAGTGCAAGACATTGGTGGTTCCATATTTATGTTGTCCAGTGAAATGATATTTACCTTCTCGTACGGCGTGACCTACGTCTTTCCCAGCGCACTGCCAATTATGCGTCGCGAAGTGGGCGAGGGCACATACAGTCTCTCGGCATATTATGTTGCAGTCGTTTTATCCTTCATACCAATGGCTTTCTTCAAGAGTTATGTTTTCTTTTCGGTCATTTACGGCTCTGTTTATTATACGCGTGGCTTTATGCTTTATTTGACCATGGGTTTGGTATTGGGTCTCTCGGCTATAGCCGCGACGGGTTATGGTCTATTCTTGTCTAGCTTCTTTGAGACCGACACAATGGCTGCGGAGTGCGCAGCGCCCTTTGATTTGATCTTCTTAATATTTGGTGGCGCTTATTATAACGTGGACTCGATACCGTTTTTGAAGTATATCTCTTTGTTCTTCTACTCGAATGAGGCTTTAATGTATAATTTTTGGATAAATGTGGATGAGATCGGTAAGATGAAACGGTTTAACTAAGTTCAATATAAGTTTTGTCCATTAACTTTGGTTTTCCGTTTTGCAGTTTGTCCTGAAAATTTGGATCATCCGTGCGTTCAAAATGGTATAGAAGTATTAAAGCGTGGCTCCTTCAAAACAGCTGATTACACTTTCTGGGTGGATTGTTTGGGTTTGCTGGGCATGGCGGTTGCTTTCAATATTGTGGCTTATTTCTTTATTAGAAAGTATGTGAAGCGTAGTGGCTACTATTAGAATAAGGAAAACATTTTATGAAGAAAGACAATAACAGTAAATACATATATATAACAAATAAATAAATATAATTTTCATTGTAAAAAGAAATGCCTAAAATATATATAAGAATTTCGGATTGGAGGATGAACGTCTTACCGTAATCTACACTAATGTGAAGTTTCTTCAATAAACATTCGTGCCCGTGTCCCGATTGAAGAGAATAACGATGTCATAAAAGGTATCTATTATGAGCTCTTGGAGCGTACTCATGACGTTGGGTGTTATATGCTGCAGGAAGGCTGGTGCATATATTTCCTTCTTCAACATAGTGATGCGAGCCGATGTTGAGTTTCGGGCCCCAGCGAGTTCGCTCAGGCTCAATCCATTAGGAGATGCTTTGTCGTGGTGTCTGAAGTTTCTGACGTTAAAATCGCCAAGCACAAGTTTGACATCGTGGCATAGACAAATGTATGTCGAAACGTTCAAACACTGGGGGGAATGCCAGGACTCGTTGTGGGAGTCTCTCTCCCCCCACGAATACAAAACCAAATATGTGTTTCTTTATATGACGGAAAAGCTAAAATAACAAGTGACACGAGGATTGACATGCTGCAGTGAAGAAAAAACAGACTATTTTGGGGAGAGAAAAGAAAAACGCATTTGCAGACAAACAAAGAGAGAAGCCGTATAACAAGAGTATGAGGAGTACAGAGGGTTTGAGGACAGGAGCAAACTTTTTTAGGACCCCAAAGAAATGACTTAGCCGCTGTTGATGCCCGGAGAATGGAAAACTTATGAAGGGAACACTTATCCAGCCTGCTGAATGGCAGTCAGAAATCAGAAGATGGCGAAACGATTCTAAATTGAAGATAAATCCCTGAAGAGGAAAATACTAGTTGTCAATTAGAATTCAACTAGTCTACATTTTTACACCAACTAGTTCATCTTTATCCATTTTCCATGTAGCCAACTAGGACAATTGTCCTGTTATGCATCAGCTTCATACTAGTTTAATACTAGCTCATTTAGGCATGTTGAATTTCTATTTCCCCAAAAAAAGACTAAAACAAATAAAATTCATTTTGCTTGCTGCGAGAATCGAACCGAGACCCTCACGCACTATAGTGAAGATCTCTAACCACCAGACTATCGTTATGATATATGGAGAAAGCAAATCTAAGCACGTCAACAGCACTTTTTAGGAAATGAAACTCAGCCGTGTCATGCTGACAACAAAATCAAAATGCGAATGATGCGGAGGTGAAAATTTCTGTTTCACCAATAATAAAAAAAAATGAAACTTAAAAATTAATTTGCCTCTAGCGGGACTCGAGCGTCTAGAACGTAATGCGCTACATCGATAACCTCTAACCACTCGGCTATCATGACGGCGCAACGATCAATGCCATTTTGCGCCCTTCAATAGAACAGAGGAGAGAATGGAATTCAGCCGGGGTCTGCCGAACAAAAAGTCTTGGAAATTGTTATTGCTCCCGTTACTGGTGGATTTCTCTACAAATAACGAACTGGTATGATATCATCTTCAACATACTAGTATTAAACTAGAATTTTTGCATACTAGTTGGTTTTCCCTGCAGGGATATTTCATTGCACTACTACGAAAAAATTCAAATAACGAATACACGTTTGTAAAACAGCAAAGAAGCGAGGCCGATAGGTGGTAACAGCCGAGATATTCGTGCAAAATAAGGTCAGAAAAAGCATACCCGATGATTGGTACCTAGAAAACGCACAAAAAATTTGATTCCACAATCTGAAATAAATCGGCTATCGATATAACATACAATTTTAATAAAAATATTAAGGCTTTCAACGAGCTAATCGGACCTTATAAGTGTAACACCATATTAACGATGCTTACAATCTTGGAAAAGACCTGTGAAAAGAGTATCGAAAACTATACCTCTTCGACAGAATTTGGTGTCCCATAAGTAACAATAAATGCTCTGCGGGAATTCTAAAGAAGCTCTCCGATCGACAATAAACGAGTTTGGGGACAGAATGACTCTCTATCTTATGATTTCTGGACTTGACGCTTGGAAAATAATCAGAGCTACAAATCTAAATAAATCAGTCACTCTTGACAGTCATAACTTTGTAGTTGTAGACAATTTCATTTATCTGTCCCTAGATAGACGGAATCCAACACAGAATCATTCTTTACTAAAGCTCCATTTTTGAACTGAGTAGACAATGCGAAAATTAAGTCCACTCTAGACGAGCATAGACGAAACTCTACATATCACTCATTATTCTCGGCCCTGCTATGCGGCGGGCCTATTGGGGAATACTGCTAAATTTATGTAAAGGATTTTTCATCTAGTAATAACAATTCATATTCTCGAATTATTTACTTACTTAAATTCATATACAGTTATCTGCTCGCTCATCGTAAGGTTAATGACCGCAGAAATACAATAAATTGAGAAAAGTCATTGTTCCTTTTATTGTACGCTCACCAATTCTCATCTCGGAAAACTTCCCCGAAAAACTTGCGGAAACTAAAATATTCTTTTGATAAAAGGAAGCAAATTTAATTTGATTTGCTCATCTACACCCAACTCCTCTCCTCTCCTGCCCTTGGAGTCTCTCTGTATTTGCGCACATTCGAACAGTCATGGGGCAAACTAAACTTCGAATTCAACACAAATGAGTATTTCACTTTGCAACAGTGTGATTAACTAAGTTTTTAGTGGAGCCACATGAATGTACAGATGTACTTGTTTGTATGTATGGATGTGTGTCAGTTTGTTTGTGAAGAATATTTAGTTGATGAAAAAGTTAACAAAAGAAAGAAATTCATATTTTTGCACATTTCTACAATATGTACGTGTATATGTATATATATATACGTGTATATATGTATTCACAGAGTAGTATGTTGTTGGTGTTGTTATTGCCAATTTACACAAAGCTAAAAAGTCAGCGTGAACAAAGTTTGCAGACGTTATCGATTCTTTGCAAAGTCTGAATGAACACAAATGAAACAATGAAACGTTTTAGAATACGAAAATTGCATAAATTTCTAGTGTTTTTCAAGTGGCATTGGATTGGTGATAACTATTCATACATACAGACATACCTGTGTATGCATATATGTATGTAATGCCGGTAGGAAAAATTAAAAGGAAAAATAATTTTACTTCTTACGCGTTACGTGACCAGACAGCTATGGATGACTAAAATTTGCGTTTAAAAGATCAATAAATCTTTTCCTTCTAGACGTAAGGACGGGCGGTAATAACTGGTCATTGTTTAATGGGGTGATACACGATATCAAGTTCCTCAGGAAACACTTCCTTGACTCTATAGCTGGGGAAGCTGGTTGGAATGAGAAGGTCAAAACAGTATATCACAATCGTCCTATTGGTCTAAGTGCGTTGGTCAGTGACCAACAGCCGCACTAAGTCCACTGTGGCAGGAATGAAAGTTCTGAGCTGTTGATCCCGAAGCGAACTATTTCTTTTACGGTATCGTGGACATAGTGCCATTGGGAGAAACTGTGCGGATGCATTCCGAATGTTGACTGTGGCATACGGAGAAGCTACCTTGGACCGAAGCAACGTTTATCGGTGGTACAAAATGTTCTCATAAGCCTGAGAAGATGTGAACGTCGAAGAGAGTGCCGGCGCCCGAGCACTTCAACAACAGACGAAAAAATTAATGAAGTGGAGAAAATGGTATTGCGACAGGGTAGAACGGTCAATAAAGAATATTACCTGCAAGTTATGCGCAATTTGCGCGAAGCAATCCGCCAGAAACGCCCGGATTTGTGGAAGAACAAAAATTGGCTTTTGCACCACGATAACGCCCCTGCTCACACATCGTTGCTTGTGCGCGACTTTTTGGCAAAACAATACACTAATAATGATGCCGCAGCCACCGTATTCCCCAGATCTGGCCCCCTGTGACTTTTTCTTGTTCCATAAACTGAAGAGGACCATGAAACCACGACGTTACGCTAGGATTGACGAGATAAAGACGGCATCGAAGGAGGAGCTGAAAAAGAAGATTGGAAAAACCGTTGGCACAAGTGTATAATATCTCATGGGGATTACTTTGAAGGGGACAAAATAGATAATCATGAATAAATAAATAATTTTTGAAAAAACACAAAATTCGCGATATTTTTTTAGCACATCTCCCACCTTTCGTTAGCAGCGGACTACTACCGAAGGAAGTTGCATACATTCACGATCATCCTAAGGATACAACACAATTTGGCTTATCACAATTTAAGCAATGATTGGACCACAATGAGTCGAATAGCATATCGACTTGGACTTAAGTCATTATTGATACGAAAAACTTACGCATCACAAGATATAAAGCGCGAATGTGCTGCTTTTTATGTTCCAGTAATCGAGTTCCGTTCTAAGCTAAGTGGCAGCAGCTTTGTTTAATCGAGATTAAAACTAGAGATGTAGATATTGAAATCTAAAGCCTTCGTTCGCTTTACGCCAAGTCCAATAAGTATTTAACCACTTTCGGAATGTCCTCTAATACCTTGAACTGCATAGCCCCAAGATATCGTAGATGAGTTCTAGCTATGGCTAAAAACGTAGAAGGTGTTGTAACGTCACACTTATAAGTTCCAACCTGCGTGAGCCACTCCTGGTCTGGTTTATTTTGCTTGCATGTGACGCAGACGTGGTGATCTGTTGCTGCTGTCCATAAACTTAGTGATTTTACATATCCCAATGCGTCCACCTCACACTGATCCTGCACCCACCTCTTTGAAAATTCATTTTATAACGTTTTTAGTAACTTTTGAATTTCCCGCGCAGGTTTTCTAGTAACATGGATGGCACTTTTGGCAATCTGAGCAGCTTTTTCGTTGCCCATAATGCCTTTGTGGCCTGAAACTCAGTATATATGCAGCATCTTACCCTCGTCCTGTCCCTGCTTCTAAGGACATTTTTTGATTTAAAACGATGTGATCCCATTGCCTTCATTCCCGCTTAGTTATCGACATATATTATTGATATTTTGTATTTAATCTACATTCAGTGCTTTCCATTGCGATGTTGATTGAGAATAAGTCAATGAATCCATCGTTATAGTAACTCT